TCCCTTCTGAGGCTTTCTGCCGATTGCCTATAACCATCTAATGTCAGCAATTCACAGTGCATCATGATGGCGAGCCACCTAACATGGTGGCCATATTGCAAACTTGACTGATAGAATTCCGTCTGCACCAAAGAAAGGACTAGAAACATTACACTAGTTGCTAACTAGTGTCCAATCAAAACAAAACATGCACAAGTCATACTTAATAGATAACAATTATTATTCCATTGGGTTCTGAGGTGGAACACAGGGCTTCAACAGCACATCTCTATTTCATTCTCTTCTCAACAATCCTTTTTAACTGGCACCACGATCGACCATAAGCTTTCGCCTCCCTCTCACACCATCTTCTCCATGTTACTGTCGGAAACCCAACTCGTCGTTTACCATTCGGGTTCCACTAGAGGGCCTAGTGCGTGATGTCACTCAACGGTCTCCCTAGCGTACGTTCAACCCAACTCCATTTCCCCCAGCATATTCGTTGGATGATAGGTTCTTGGTTGATTCGTCGCCAGATTTCCTTGTTGATTATCTTTTTCGACTGGCCATCATCTGATCTTCAGCATAAAACGAAGGCAACTATTGATGATGATAGTTTGACGCTTGTTTGAAATGCTGTTCATGACGCACCAAATCTCTGTTCCATACATTGAAGCACTAACTTGACATTAGTTTTGAAATTCAGAATGTTGATTTCCATACTGATCTCAGACTAATGAAGGTTTGTTTTGAGCAACTGATCTTCTAAAGGTGCTTCAAGGTATGTATTTCTTTTTGTGCTAGTTGAAATATCGCTTGAATAAATCTGCATTCCTCGTAAGTGATATACAAAACTTAACCATCGTCATGGAGATTATTTCATGCACAAGTAAAAAAATAAATAGAGGAAATACGTGTTAAAACACACTCGTAGACATCTAACAAATTCGATTTTAGACATAATACTTTGCATAAACGATATCTGTAAGTCAGAGTACATGGTGTAGGGAGGGCAATGACACAGAAAGATATGGATATTTTCAACAAACAGGCTGAAATTACACGATTACGCGGTTGCTTAAGTATGTGATTAGATGAAAACAAAATTTCACATTAAACTATGACGCTGATAAAATTCATTATGAATGTACACTCCGACTGATAAGAAATGCACTTTACTGTCATTAAATATTTCAGAATAATTTGTTTTTCTCATTTGGAAATAAACCACAGACTGTTCAATAACCAGACAAAAAAAAACTGTCGATTTTATTTCCTCCTACTACAACATTGAAATCAGACAAAAGAGATAAGTTGTTGTATTTTTCTAACCAATAGTATTAGTAGTAGTAGTAGTAGTAGGAAAGGTCACTTTTTTTAATCATTTCAATACAGTATTATAAGATATGTACACATTTGACAGCATCACATCAGTCCAGTTATCCAACTGAATATTCTCAGGATAATTGACATAATAGGCATTTCTATACTAGTAAAAATGTCAAGTATAACTTCAAGAATAGCTGAATCATTCTTGTTTTGATGTTAGTAGTCTAATAATAATTTTAAAGCAATAGCTTTCATACTTATCTGATGCCATTTAAAAGACAATCACTAATGGAATACCAGTACTAAAAATGAATAGTCCAGTCGATATTCTCAAGTTTTCATTACTTGTAAAACAAGTGATATAAATGAATAGTCAGTCAGCTAAGCGATATAGGGTATAATACAGTTAGTGCAATCAATCTGCAAGCTTGAGTTTCAGCATCTGAGTTAAAGATCCTAAGTCCATTTCACCAACTGAGAATTAAGCTATCACAAAAAAGGTAAATAAGTATTATGCCCAAACCTAATTCACCCATTTTAAAGCACAAGAATAAAGGAAAACCACTTTGAAACATGAATTTTAAGATAGGACAGGTTTTTTAATTGAATTTTAGATTTTCCCGTCGATTGATTGGACTGAAGTGTTCGGTCTCAGGTTGACATGTCGGCTTCTTGTGCAGATGCTTCGACGATGTCTGGGCATGTAATTAGAATTTAATTGGTAGATGGTGACTAGCAGTGGAATCCAAGATGCACATTTCGCCCTATGTGGAACTCGTCAGCTCACTGAAGAATGCAAGTACATCCAGATGACGAGTCTGAAATACGCATCCTGGATTCCACTGCTAGTCACCATCCAACAATTAAATTCTAAGGACAGGTTTTAGTTCCAGGGAATTCGTTATAATTACTAAGGTACCATTAGTAAGAATGATAAATGAAAAGTACTAAAATCAAGTGTAAGAATGTTTAAGCAAACACTATTTTAAGATGACGCTTACTTTAGAAACTTGGTGGGCAGCTTAGGAATGGAATTTCAGCTTGTAGTATGTTTAGAATACTAAATGTCAGGTGAGAGCCTACGGAGAGTTGTCATCTGAAGTGGTGAAAACCAGTGGTGTCCGGCAGGGATGCCCAGTATCCCCATTTCTGTTTAATTTCATCACGGATGTACTAATGGATTTAACCCTAACTGACTTCAGAGACTTAGGGATGGACTTGTTACCAGGGAATAATTTCGGTGGCTTAGAATATGCGGACGATATAGTCCTCCCTGCTAGGTGAAAACGCTGACGAAATGCAGAGTATTCTGAACACTTTCAGTAGTAATCTTCGAATGTTTGGTATGCGATTTACTCCTATTAAAATGTAAGGTGATGCTACAGGACTGGACTGCATCGACTCCTAGCTTAAAGATAGAGAGTGAAGGGGTAGAGCGTGTTGACTATTCCACTTATTTTAGAAGTTGCATCAAAGCCAGCGGTTTGGTCGCTGATGAAATCTCAGCACGAATAGAGAAGGCTCGTTTCGCATATGCCAGTTTACGCCGTCTCTAGAGTGAACGTATGCCTGGGCACCGCCTTCCTCGACGGGCAATGTTAGCTACCTGACATAGGATCAGGTTAGAAAGGAGCCAGTGGCAGTCAAACCAAAACATGGCCTCACCAGTCAATGAAATCCACAACAGTTAGTTTAAGCCAAGTAGAGAGGTGTAGACTTCCTGGTTAGGGTCCTCGAGATAGGAAAAACCAATGGCTGGAGACAAATTGTTCTCAATGGCGCAGATGCATCCACTCCTTGTGACTTATAATACCCAATAAAACTATATTGTTCTTCGATATTACTATTCTTTTTGCTTCATATCTCTGTTTAATAACTCTCTTTTTTGAATCTCTGTTTATTCTTTTATCTTTCTTTGTATGCTGCTTGGAGTGTGGTGACTCAAACTGCTGCACATCTGTGCAAATTTATACGTTGAAACCAGTTAGTCAGTCAATGTTAAGAAGAATTTGAGAACCAATTTAGTTAGTTAAGTGGTTTGTAAGACTGCTTAAGTTTAGTACTTCATAACTAGTTAATGGTTTGGATGTAAAATGTAACGAATTACGAGATATCCTTTTTTATCTAGAAGACAATTAACAGTTGGAGATCAAATATTCAATAAAAAAAACACAGCTGTTAAAGAATATATCATGGATGCATACTGAAAATAAAGGATGCACTGGTTAGCTATAAATTAAAATTATAGAAAGTGTGCAAAATTTAGCCCAATTGGATGAAGTGATTAATAAAGCTTATCCTTAGATGATTATGGCAACAGGTAATCAATACTGGAATACTTATTATTGTTCATAGTAATGCCAAACCACCACAATAATTTAATTGGTGGATGGTGACTAGCAGTGGAATCCAGGATGCGCATTTCGTCCTATTTGGGACTCGTCATCTGGATATACCTGCACTTCCCAGTGAGTGATGATGTTCCCACCGAGGCTCAGACCCAGTGCCCATAGTTTCAAACGCCAAAGCGTTATCCACTAGACCACTTGGGCCACCTCTTGTGCAACGGGTCATATTAATTGAATTTTAGATTTTCCCGTCGACTGATTGGACCGAAGTGCTCGGTCTCAGGTTGACATGTCAGCTTCTTGTGCAGATGCTTCGACGATGTCTGGGCATTTAATTATAATTTAATTGGTGGATTCAATTAAAACACCACAATAATATTGGCTACAATTAGTATCAGGTAAGAGGAGAATCTGAATTCTGTATTACTTTAATTCTACATTTATTCCAAATTTATCTGATGAGGAACATACTATTACTGTTACTATAGTAATGTAAACTATATGGTGTTTCGAGCATACCATGATGGATATAATTATTATATGATAAATTTGACGATCGATCCCTCAAGTGAACAATAAGCTATTGTCATCCTTATTCGATGTAGACCTTCATTTATAGTGTGTAATCAAAAAGAATAAGTTTTATGATTACTTAAAAATTCCTTCAATTGTTTTTGTACCTAAACATCATATATATTTTTGCTGATTAGTAGGGTGAATGAATATAAAATTAGACGGCAAATATTAAAACAGTGACTAGACTACTGAACAGTATTATTTAAAAGAAGGCTGCTGAAAACAGTTGTAATTTTATTATCCGAATTAATATAATAACATAAATCTACTTAGCCCATCATTTTTGTTAGTGAAATATGCAATTAATGCATAGATGGATGACTTCTTTACACTATTAACTTCCAAAATAAAATGTTTCATCAGAAAGGAATTTATAATGGCTCTTTAACTTATGTTGAAACTGAACTGTCTACAGTTACTTAGACCTCAACTAATTATTCAGAAGAGATTTTTCAACAATAATTGTGTGAGGTCTAATGATGCTACCCAATCTCTCATGCTTTTGCTTTCCCAGTGGAACATAGGGCTTCAAGCTTGAGCCTTGAAGTTTCAGAAGTAGTGGTGTTTTCTTTTTTTAACAGGGTGGGGTCGCCATTCCCACACCCAACCTTCCCTCTTTGTCTGACTTACAACCGGCTAGGGGAAATAAAGCGGTGCGCCAATCCAGGACTCGAACCCCGGACCACTTGCTTGGTTGACGAGCATTCTACCACCTGTGAACCACTGATGCACATCAGACTGAGCTAGGTGGAACACAATTCGAACCTGGGATCTATTTAGTGGCTTGGATGTTGATCAATAGAATGGGTTTCGGAACGAATTCAGACAGAGACATATGCAAATAAAATATAAAATAAATAATGAAAATGATACTAACGTATATAAATAAAGATATATATGTATATTTCAAGTAGTCTGAATAGAAAAAGACAGTAAACAAAACTTTTAACATAGGTAGTTGGTAGTGAACCTACTTCGTATGTAGAGTTAATACATATCAACATAGAGGCATAAAAATATGTACATATAATGTATATGTATGTATAAATTAATTTTAAGTAACTTTGTGGTTAATGTAAAAGCAAGCAAACATAAAGAAAGAAAACCTATCAGTCGAAAAACAAAACAAATAACAAACAAACTATAAACTGATCACAAGAAGAAGAAGAAGAGAAAAACTCAACAGAACAGAACAGAACACAGCTGCACTTGAAAATTAGGCAGCAGAGACAGCAGCAGTATTACACAACTGACGTATATATATACTCAGAAATTATCAGTCGAGAAATGCAATAAAATAACAACAATAATAGTAATAATAATAATAACGAGTAAATAAATCACCTTAAATATATAACTAGATAATGTTACAGAAGAAAAATGGAATTCAAATTATTGTGCATTGAAAAAACCATTGTTATTATTATTATTATTAATAATATTATCAGCAGTAGCAGCAATAATAAAAATTACATAAACCAATTCAAAAGTTAATAATGTGTGAATACATTTCATACATAAATTTGCATAAATCAAATTGTACAATCACAAAATATATCATTTAACACACACCTCATGAGCACACAGTGTGTAAGAGGCAACATTATTTTACACAATTAATTGAATACTGAAGATGATAAAAACAGATACACACACACACACACACACACGAATTTTACAAACATCACGCCGATATTAAAGACAGCATGGAAGGCAGGAGTTTTGGAAGTGATAAGTTCCACTTGAACGACTAGACTTTAGAAACAGAAACTAATAATAATAATAATAGATACCAATTATGTAATACAAGCAAATAATAGATATTATATAGAAGGAATAAACATTATAATAAAGAAATGCTACGAAAGAAAATAAGTCAACTGAGATCAATATTATTAGACAGGAAATGTTATTCATCAAGTCATAAATTATACATACGGCAGGAACCAAAAGAAACGGATACATAGAGAAAACATGCAAGTATGATAGGCAGGTATCAGTCACTGGTAACAGGTGTAAATGCTTATTCCTTTTCTGCTTGTCTTTAGCCGCACTTGATTTGAAATGATATTGATTAGTCGCATAAATACATCACCATGTCAGATGAGATACAAAACACCATGGAGGTAGGTGATTCAAAATAATAATAATAATACGAGTGAAGCAAAGAATGTCAAAGTTGAAGACCCATCAATACTTATTGTTTGACAAATTGACATAGTGTTTTGAATTATTAATTAATTGCTAAATAACCAAGTCCTGTTGTAGAACTGATATGAACGAATTTAGGAAAAAGACACCATATCACCATTATAATACACGATAATTATATGTACTGACGACAGATGCATGACAGTGTCAGAGATGCAAAACGGCACAAAAGAAAGAAACCAAAGCTGTGCAAATAACCCCACAGCGAATACAACAAATGAACAAATATAAATATAAAAGTAGGAAGCATTAAAAGGAATTACAACGGAGCATAACAAATCAACAGTATCAAATTCATGGAACAAAATCACTTATTTACACATATGCGAGGAAGGATTTTCACACATACATTCATATTAGAGAGGAAAAATACAAACAAAATATTAAAAGTAATATGAAATAGAAAACAATGATTAAGTAATAATAACGGTTAGACACCAATACGATTTAGAGAAGGATGATTAACTTTAGTGAGATGATGATCACAGTCTGCCGCAACAATACCATTACTGTTAGAATCCATCACTTGAGAATTGATCAATTTTGTATCATTAGGCTGTTGACTTGACACAGAAACTAACGAGTTCTCTATGGGACTAAGTGGATGAATGGAGGTGAAGTTCGGCTCAGAATAATGATCAGGTCTAAGTTGAACTAATTGCATTTTGTTAGGTTTACGGCGACTGGATCCGCTAAGCATAATCGAAGGTTTACTGCGTGTTTCAAATATAGTCTCATTAGATGCTGGAACAGAGGGGAAAACATTCGGTAAGGCAGAATCATTTGCATGAGATTGATGCACAGAGATACCATTTACTGGCAATGGATAGACAACAACAGTATCATCATTAAGCCGTGGTATTTTAGCCGGTTTCGACAAATCAAACATACTATCATTTAACTGGAAATTCAAAGCATTATCAAATATGTTGGTGGGTAATTTAGGTAGTTCAGTTTCATCATTATCTGTTGTAGCATTATCAACTTCATTATCCTGATAGTCTATTCCATTATTGTCAGATAGATCGATTGGTTTACTTGAATTTGCAGTACCATTTTCATTGGGCAGTCCAGAGTCTTGTGTAGAAATCTTAAAAAGGAAAGAACAAATCAATGAACGCACTGTTAGACAGTACCATAGTACTCAAAGAAGAAATTTATTTACATATTTAGTTCAAGTATTTTTGAATAGCAAACACTACAGATTCGAGAATCGGTTCCCTTCATTGTACACTTTGTATACGTGTGAAAAAATAACGTAATAACCGTTAGTAGAGTCATTTATACAAATGAGTGTTTTTAAAAACATGACAAGGGAATAAGTAACAGCTTCAACTGGAAAACACCCACTGATCTAAAGTCGTAATGGTAGCGGTCATTTGAACACTTTAGATCTTATTACTCGAATAGTATACTTTTCATCTTCAGAATCTATAACCCTGGTAGGTTAAATCAAAGAATTCGCTAGAACGGGGTCATATAAAAATTTGTATTAAATTTTTTCCCCTTCAATTTGTCATCCATTTTACTAAATGTTTTAAAACTAGAAATAATATAACCTACTAGGATGTAGCTATGCTATCTATGCATTTATTGGTGTTTTTAGGTAACCTCTAGTTCTAAGAGTGAATAATAATAATAACATACTAGGTGCTGTATTATTCTTTTATATTAGATTTCAATAGTGTTCGACTGTCTTTTTTCGTAGTTAAGAGAAAAGTTAAGAGGATGCATATTGTTGAACGGATCAATAATGAGCACAGATAGCCACAAATTTACACTAGATAAAGCGCACACCCGTATCACTAAAATATACTTGGTTTAAAACAAATATTTTATTGAATGTGTGTATAATGAATGAGTATTAAGATATGAAGTAAAATCCTCAATTCCAATCTGGTATACACACTTATAAGGCGTGTCGATTTGTGGAGAGGATACAAAAGAAACTTGAAAAAGATATGCCTCAACTGTTAAAGAAGATCTACACTCAAGTTTTCTTCTTTTTTTTATAGCGTAAAACGAATATAAAACTGATAATTCATGTGTGTTGTATTTTCATAAAAAATCTTTATGTATCATAAAATTTCTTGACACAAAACAATTTGAGTGATAAGTAGTAATATTATTTTACAATACACAAACCATCCACCACGTGTAACCAGATAGTTATAATGAAACATATTCAAGTGAACACACAACTCGTGATTTTACTCATTAACCAAATTTAACACTATTCACTTAGTAACAAATATGAGGTAATTTTTCCATTCGAAGCTTTTTTTTGCATAAACGGTAGATGATGAGATAATAGGAAGGACACGTGTACATCAAAGAAGTAGGCAATAAATAGGGGTAACAAATACCAATATGTGATTGGAAAAGCAGTAGTTAACATTTATCGACAATATATACATTTATGCTTAAGAGAGTTCACACAAATTATATATTGGAAAGTACATTATCACATGAGTGAAATCAAAGCTTTATACATGGAAAATCAATTAATTGCGAAGATTTTAACGGTGTATTACAAACCTTAAATATGTACTGAGAATAACCATAGGAAATATCTAAATTATTATAAACTTGAAAGTGACTGCATTATGAGATGGATATCATACACGCAATACTCGGCAGAGACTCAGTGTGACACGGATACAGAGGGCTAGTTTCGCATATGCCAGTTTACGCCATCTCTGGCGTAGACGTGATATCCGGCTAGTTGTCGGTCAAAAGACGTGTGTACTGCTCATCAGTCCGCTCCGTCTTCCTTTATGACTGTGAGACCTGGCCGGTGAGAGTGGAAGACATGAAAAGATTAGCTGTCTTTGATCACAGGTGTCTGCGTTCTATCTCCCGTGTGAAGTGGTATAATAAGGTGAGCAATAGAGGGGTTAGGCGTCGAGTGCTAGGGAAGGAGGGGAAATCAATCAACGAGGCTGTGAAATTACATCAACTGAGATGGTTAGGACATGTGTTACGTATACCTAGTCATCACCTTCCTCGACAGGCAATGTTAGCTGACATAGGGTCAGGCTGGAAAAGAGCTAACGGTGGTCAAACCAAAACATGGCACCAGTCAATGAAATGAAATCTACAACAGTTAGTTTAAGCCACGTAGGAAGGTGTAGACTTCCTGGTTGGGGTCCTCGGGATGGTAAAAACCAATGGTTGGAAACAATTGGTGACATGGCTCAAAATCGGTCTCAGTGATGGCGCAGATGCATCCACTCCTTGTGACTTATGATTTCCAATGAAACTGTTTTGTTCTTCGTTACTACTATTCCTTTGTCTCACACCTCTGTTTACTGTCTCTAATATGCATTTCTTCTACTTTCTTCTTTTGCTTTGTGTGCTACATGGAGTGTGGCGACTTGAACTGCCGCACATCGGCGCAAAGTTCTATGTCGAAAACAGACACACAGAACTAAGTTTTTAAGAGTTGATAGACACTTGGACTTTCACTGGACAGAAATTATATTTCGAAAATGTTCAACCAAAAATCTGTACCTTCTTTAAGTCACTGCCATCAGGTGAAGTAAAAACGATTTCACGAATTTTATCGATATCATGTAAGGCATGTTAGATAGATCGAACGGAACAGATTTTACAGAAAACTCAAGCATACTTGGGTAAAGATTACAATGAATGAAATCTATTAATGAGACTGTATTACAAATTGTCATTTTAAGTAACTCACTCCTAGATGTTAACTGCTCTAAATAAAACCATTCAGTAGTAAACAATTAAATTACCTGAGATACACTTTTGACCACTGGATATGTACTTGGACTGGAAGGAATATGATCAACTCGGTTGGTATTAACCAGCTTTTCAACCTCTCGGTGAACAATAGGTTGGTAAACCTGGGATGCGAACTGCCCCGGTGGACGAGATAAACCAACAGCTGATGCCCGGCGTGATCCAAACTGAGTTAGATCCATTTCTGACAGTGGTTTGATCACAGTTCCCTTCCATTTCATCTTAGCCAAGTGAAGTAAGACGTGATTCGGCAATAGAGTGTTATCTTCCCGACTGAGACGGCTACAATGCATAGCCGCAGCTTTATAGCGTTCTGGTACTTTAGCATGCACACCCAATATGTGCTTTCGAATATCACCCATCCCATGAGGTGAAGATGAAGAACAACCAGAACAGCAGAAATATCTCCTACCACGCCGCCTTGTAATATATACTTTGAGCGAACTGTAGACACCCATTTTAGCCTGAGAAGAAAACAAATAATTTAATTTTTAGTGTTGGTTAGTGGGAAGCAAATTAATATCAGGGTCGATTTCGTGACAAACTGAAATGAATAAGAGAGCCAATGAAAACAACGGGGCACTTGACAGACGTTTCTTCAGTAGCATTCATACTTAACTCTAAGAGGATTGAACGAAGGAGTGTCAAGTTATGAGATGAGCACATAACCATTAGCTGATTGACAAGAGTCAGAATTCATCAGCCAATGGATTCTGATTCAGTGGCTGAACGGTAACATGAAGGTTTTTTGGTTCAATTCCCTCGAGGTTATGGAAGCGTACATCTGAAGAGTTCCAAGCTTGGAGGAGATGGCTGTCTAGTGCACCTTAGTCTTCAATAGTTCTTCAACTCATGTAAGTCAGTAACGAAATTTACCTTGAAATAATTTATTCTGAAAAGGAAGACGGAAAGCATGCAATTTAATAGCTATTACGATAAATACAACACTCAAAATAATCACACTGTACAGAAGGCTCATATAGCCTGATCACATTTACGAGACTACTATATAATAGGGAAAATAGTCATAAGCACAGTTAGAATAACTATGAGTTAACACTTCAATGGTCAACTTCAAAGATCACTTGGTTTGCAGCTTTACAGACTCAAATCATTAGAATACCATCCACTATATTCATATAGTTTACATGAACGACCGAGTCCATTAATACATGCAAACTACTAATATAAAGTGGGACTAAAAAGTGTGTCATTAGCCTAACTTATTGATCTAAGTTATTTAAGAAACTGCATTAAAAATTACAATAAGGACAAACCTCAAGTATTGGAAAATAGTTCGGTGGACAGTAACCTTGTACCAAAGTTTTCAAAGCTTCAGATGAATATGGAAGATCAATTATACGCTCCACTTCCTCTGCTCCAGAAGCTTGGACAGCATTTAATTGCGCAAGTGGATCTTCGGGTTCTTTTTGCAGTCTTTTCGGATCGTTGTCTGAGCTTTCCTTGTCATCGTCGTTTTCGTACTTTGTAAACGAATCATCATGGTAAATTGAACTGTTTGTTCCACCAGTATCAGTACCTTCACTCACAGAATCCATTTCGCCATTATCCAAAGTAAGTGTTTTGGGTGAAGACGAAACCGAGTTTGTATTCATAGACTGTTGTAAAGACATAGAAGACAAAGGTGGGTAGGGAGCTAACTCCTTAAGTGGTTTTATAAAATTAGTGGAAGATGAACGCCCGTTTGCATCAGATGCTGGAGGTGGGAGATTAGTAAGTTTAATAGGTCTGTCCATGGCGAGTCGAAGAAGCATATCATCTGGATATATTTGGAAGTCATACTCTCTTGTAATACGAGAAGCTTGACAACAGATTGTGATAAATACATTTGGAATGCGTGCATGAACACCCATAACATGACGTCTGCTATCTGCTAATGTTGCGGCACGTATTTTGCTATCCGGCTGTCGTGTTGTGATAAATAGACGCCCACAAGGACAGCGAAAAGCTATAGTGCGATCATTTCGACATATTCGACTCATTTTGTAAGTAGAGTACACACGCATTTTAGCAACTATATCTTCAATATGATGCTCCATTGCGCCCGAGGACTCCAGCAAATGACGAAGAACTGGTTCAGAAAACGGTAACGCTAGGTCTACAACTCGATCAGCACCTTCTATTCCTGGTATTGATGGAAGTGAGGCTAAATCAGTATTCGAATTGGAGGAAGATGTCTGATTTTCTACATCGCATTCAACAGGAGATATAGATGATAGGTTTTCGCAAGACGAGTTTCCATTGATGTGACTTGTAGATGATGGGACAGTAGTCAACGATTCAGGAGGTCGAAAATCAGGAGGAATCGGAGGTCGGATTCTAACAGTCACTTTAGTTTTAGAACCTGGCACAACAGCAGTAAAGTGAGAGACATAGGGATCTTGAGGCTCACATGATAAACCACTATTATTATTAGATGTTGCTGGGGATGTCGTAGAATTGTTCTCAACCACGCTGGGATTATCACTGTTAACTGGATTTGGGGAGGCATCAGGACTGTTTAAGCTACTTGAAACCTCACGTCTATGCAGAAAATCTCTTGCAAGACGAGCTAACTTTTCATCAGAGAACAAGGTAAACTCTACAGGATCTAAACGAGAGGCTTGAAGGCAATGACGAAAATGTTTGGTTGATATACCACAATGAGATCCTAGTATATGCTTCCTAACGTCAGCTAGAGCATGCGGTGATGAATAAGAGCAATGATTGCATTTATAACGTCGAAATCCTGCACGAGTGTCTACTATCACTGAAAGGCGACTATATAGTTGCATCTTTTGCTCCAAGAAGTCTCTTGTGATGAGGGGAAGATGTGCAATCAGCCTTCGTAAGATACGTATTGAATAAGGCAAAGGAATACGACGCCGACCAGCCTCGAGGACACGAGGTTTCATTTGACGCATAGCAAGTTGCTCTTGAACTTCCTGAAACTTCTCTTCGCTTTTTGGGAGGAAAGTGAAACGTAAACAATCTTTAAGGTGTTCTCTAGGGACTTCCAGGTGTACAGTAAGCAAATGTCGTTTGAAGTCACCAAGGCCATAAGGAAATATTTTATCGCACTCTGGACAAGCAGGAATACGGCGATGATTTTCTTTTCCCAGAATGCGTACAAAGTAGGAAGAAAATTGCCTCATTTTTGAAACTAACAGATCGATTACATGAGGCTGCAACTCCGTAGCAAGTTCGCTGCGGAACCTACATTCATCGAACGGAAAAGAAACTAATCCTTCACATAAACGTCCACTATCATCTGAAGACAAGTACTCATCAGGTGATTTTGTCGATGAATCCAGTGAATCAGTACATTTTGAATCCTCTGCGTCGTTGTCATCTAGATCTTCTTTGCCCTCCACTGGATCTATGCTTTCCGCTGGTAGATCACTGGATTTCGGCTGAATAGGAACAGGAGACGAAATATCACACGGCAATGATGACGGAAACGAACTACCTGAATTTGAAACAGTATTATTTATGTTGAAGTTTGTGAAACCCGACAGGGCCGCTGCAGCCATGGCAGCGACGGCGGAGGCTGCATCACAAGCAGTGAGGCTTCCAACATTTTGTCCAGTAGCAAAACTTCGAAGGGTTTTTAAAGCATCTGCACTGTTTATTATATTCATAGGCGGATTAACTGGAAGACTAGTTAAACTGCTACTAACTATCATGCTATTGTTGCTGGATGAAGATTTACTAGGAGATCCTGTTGGAACATTGTTTAATGGCGTTTGCTGAACTCGACTAGTTAAACTGGTTAATTTTGATGCACTAGGTTGCGCCAAGGCAGCAAGGTTCATGGGTGATTCTGTATCTACATCACCATTTTCATGAGTTATAGAAAAAGGAATTAAATCATCTGCATCTCTAGAGAATTCGAAATGCTGCTCAGACTTAAACGATAAATCCGTTGTTATTGGTTCTGAGTTATCATCCAATAAGGAGACACGTAAATGTTCCCGATAAACAGATGCTTCCTTAAAGGAAAACAACAAACAAAAGATAAACGTTAGTACAGATGAACAAAACTGACTGCGCACTTAAATACCATAAAATTTGCTGAATAAATTATATATAATACAAGGGGATAAAGAGATAGAATTTAAGCAGGAGTGAGACAAATGAATCAACTGTATGTCTACTACATACACATTTAATAGTCGAATTATAGGTGGTAGGATGTAAACCTGAAATAGTAACAATTGACCTTCGCGTTTTTAGTCTACATTTTAGGTTAGTTTGATCGATTTCTAAAAAAAACAAAGGATGAATTATTAATCTTTTTCATTGTTGCTAAAAGTATGAGGCTTTTGTAAGCAAGGAATGATCATTACTTGTCGTCCATCAAGTCAATCTACTATTCAATAAGGCAATACTTTTGAAACAGTTGAAAAATATTGCATGCATTGCAGTTGAATGCAACTTAACGAAACACATGCAGATATTCATTTCTACACAATATGCAATGTTTTTGGGCATAAAGCAAGTGCCATGAACAAGATAGTTCGGTTTTTATACCATCAAGTAACAAGTATAACAATTCCTAACTTGAGTACATGCTTGATTTCAACTTTAGAATTCAGTAGACCCAAGCAACTAAACTACAACGAGACAGTGTGAAATTACGTATGGAGATCAACTCATTGACAAAGAAATGATAGATACACATGAAATCAAGGTGTCAAAATTCATCATTTTATGAAACTAAATGACCTCAAAGGCTAAGTAGAAATAAGATACACATATTGGCGCAGTTCAAGCTAAATACACTTTAAAATACAATCGTTAACACTCTTTAACAAATGGTTTATATGTCATGATAGAAACCCAATCAGTCAGTTTACACTACTTCACAAGACTAAGATTTTTAGTGTATGAGAATTTAGTGCATGCCTAAAATTGTGTATACTTAACTGTTGTCCGTTTTATTTCTGTCACAGTCATTGTAGCCGATCAACATTAGCCTCATGTGATATATACGCTCGAATTAAAATCAACAGCCTTTCAATAAAATAAAGAGGAAGGCTTGGTAAAGATCATTTTACCGATCCAAATAATAATCATAATAATACTGCAACTATTGAGAAGGAAAAGTAAATACCTTGGGATTGTGGGAATAAGTTACATGTTCCGTTAAAAGTTTGTGTTCCGTAGATACTACTTGACATTTCGAGCACCAATAGATGTGACAACGGTAAACCATAGGTGATAGACTTCCGGATTCTTGTCGACGATTTCGGGCAAAATTTTTTATACCAGGACATGCAGCTGGGTGCATCAAAAAGTAGTTCCATCGAACAGTTGTTAGATCACAATAAGGGCAACGAAGGAGAAAGACGAATGGTGGAGACAGATCTGTACATAATCTGTTCACAATAGGAAGGTGATCATCTGTAGATAATGAAGTACTGTAAGACTTTGAGCCACTATCTGTCTTGTTCACATGACCACAAATTAACTGTAAAAGAGTTTTTTGAAAATTAGATTAGGTTTTTGTTGTACGAAAAAAATCTAGAAAAATTGTAATAATGACGGAATGCTCTAAACAAAAGTTAGTGGTGTAAGTTGAATGTTTATCAGTTTTCATATTGTCATTCTATTTCCCCTATTTAAAAATATTAAGAGCTTAAATGATGCAAAGGTAAAGTTTTGAAAATTTACTACGTTAACTAGAACACCTTTGCCAATTTAAAAGGACCTAAAACAAAATATCAGGTTGGTAGCTGTATAGAATATCAGCAAGGGATTTTTTCACATGGATATCAATCCCCATGAACTACAAAAAACCATCTTACAGGATTACGCTGCAATGGACACCATGGAACACTATGTATATACCGAAGACATCTGTGGTAAATGACAAGCGAATCTTTTATATTGGTGCTGAGATTTTGTCAACACCGATCAACCAACTTTTATCTGAATGGGATGTAAACAAACTAAAACAGCAGGATGTGATGGTGTGACTCCAGTGGTATTTAAGGATGGTAGTGATGAATTACTGGCTAGATTAACTGAGGTATTAGCTAGCTTATGGGATTCCAAGCGTCCCATGGGAAAGATGTAGATTGCTAGTCAACCGAATTTGTGAGAAAGAAAATACTGTTTTTGTGATCACAGTAGAGTCGACTCAATTAAGATTATCTAAGACTGAGTTTTGTAGTCCTACGAAGACTAATTAAGGCTCAGAAAAAACGCACTCGAAAAGGCCAGATGGGTTTCAGTGCTGAACGGAGGTCTATTGAGCATATATTCAGGTTCTGGGATAAACATACTTTACCTGAAGACTGCATTTTACTTTGTTGTTCAAGAGGTGCTATGGTAATGTCTGGAGGTGACAGTAGCGTTCAAAAAATATGTCCTACTAATCAAGACGCCCTAATTGAACTCAGGCAGCGACAGCATATGGAGAATTATCATCAGAAGTTGACAACCAGTAGTGGTCCATTTGGAATATCCACTGTCCAAATTCTTTAATTTCATTATAGCGGTAGTAAGGTTAGTAGCTATGGTCGAATTTAACGTCATAGACAAAATCAATGAACACTTTATGCACAACTGCTTCAGAATTACTAGCAGGTACAATAGAAGTCGCTGACTAAATGCAGCGTTTTCTAGAAATACTAAACAAAAATGTGGGTACCTTTGGCGCTCTCGACGGGCAATGTTAGCTGACATAGGGTCGGGCTGGAAAAGAACTAGCGTTGGTCAAACCAAAACATGGCACCAGTCAATGAAATGAAATCTACAATAGTTAGTTTAAGCCACGTAGGAAGGTGTAGACTTCCTGGTTGGGGTCCTCGGGATGGTAAAAACCAATGGTTGGAAACAATTGGTGACATGGCTCAAAATCGTTCTCAGTGGCACTGGCAGATGCATCCACTCCTTGTGACTTATGATTTCCAATGAAACTGTTTTGTTCTTCGTTACTACTATTCCTTTGTCTCACATCTCTGTTTACTGTCTCTAATATGCATTTCTCCTACTTTCTTCTCTTGCTTTGTGTGCTACATGGAGTGTGGCGACTTGAATTGCCGCACATATGTGTAAAATTCTATGTCGAATATAGAGAGACAGACAGACCTTTGGCGTGTAATCTGCCCTCATCGAGGATTAGATGAAGCTGAAGGAATAGTCCCCATAGACTTTTATTTTATGAGTAGGAAGGGAAATAGTTGCATTGATCAATTCACTTGAGATTCTATGAAGCAGCTATTTACAGAATCTCAGTACCAGAACAAAAAGCAAATTTGTCATTTCTTAATTTTCGGTACCGATGTGATATCTGGTCACCAGTCAAAGGACGTGTGTCCTGTGTAGCAGTTCGCTTTGTACTACTTTATGACCACGTCTTGGAGATTCAGTGGTGCATGTTTAGTCCAAGGGTGAGATTGTGTCTAGATAATGTAGCATCATATTTTTGATAAGAGCTGCAGTGGCGTGAGCATGTTACAAATGTTATCTCAGTGGATACTACACCGTTGGCTATATAAGCTGTCCCTAAGATCGATTAGCACACGAAGTGAAATCACGGAATAATGCATGACTGTATTTGATTAGTATTTCTTAAAATAACACAAAACAGAGAACAGTTTGAGAGATGGTGCCACTGAAAGTTATGGAAGGACAGACGACTCAATGAAATTTAGTGGAGGACACGCTCCAGTTACATACAGTAAATAACTAGCCTTTGAGTATACTAAGGTGGATGCTTACCCTTTTAGTCCCATTTACTCTCTACATTATATCTGTTAATGTGGAAGATTACCAGGTGCTAAGTATCATGTTTAGGGATAAAACATACATCACGAAAAAGTAAGAAACTCACCTCGGAAGTCACCTGAACTAACGGGTGTAGAGATTTGGGGTGCTTTAGTTTTATGTGATCTAAAAGAAGTGTTCTCGATGGTGACTTCACAAAACATCCTGGGAAAGTACAATGCACCAGAGATCGAGAATAAGATTTTATATGTTTTCCCCACTCTACTAAAGTAGGAAAATCATCCATGCATTGATTACATTGTAACTTGACTGGAGTTGACATTGAGTCACGATGTTGAGTTTCCCAGTGAATTTGCATATGTTGGAATTGATTGGTACGAAATTTATCAGAACATGTATTCTCTATGGGACAAGAGAAAATCCTGAAGGCGTTCGAAGATGCACCATTTATCAAGTGTTGGGAAATGTGAATTACTAGGCTGGACCGTTGAATTTTGGAATTACAGTAGAGACATAAGTGTGATTTAATATTTGCGTGGTAATCATTTAAATGAGCATTGAAGATTTCTGGGTCGGAGGTACATGCTCCAGATTTTAGAGAAACATTTAAGTCGCCACTACCTGTTCTCCTATCATGCATACATGTGAAACAGGTAAAGCATCCAGAAGTCGATTCTAACAGCTGAATATTCCTTTTCAGAGACTGACATACAGTTTTACTATCATGAACCTGAATATCCATTGTTCATAGGTTCGTGATAAGCGCACCTATGTTAAATAATAAAATAAACGGTACAGTGTAGTATTTTCAAAATGAAATTATTTATTATAAGTTTTTTTCAGTTATAAAAATAAGTGATTCAAGTCTTACGAACTTTTTTAAATATATTTTATTCTACGCTAGTAAACAATGATAGATACGATGCTATTATGACCGCATACAACAGAGACAAAAGCTGATGACAAACGAACTAGGTACAGGTAAAACACTAATATAAGTTAACGCAGAAGAGCCCGGAATCACAAACCGCACATTCTAGTTAATACATACAAAATTAAGAAACAAATCATGTTATTGGGAGAGAACAGCTGGATTTTCAGTGTAGCACTCAGCACGGAAGTGCAACAGTTCAAGTCCCTAAACTGCATAATGCACACGTGCAGGTAGGCAAAGAGAAAAAAGAAATCCAAAGAAACCACAATAAGGGTTCTGTGCGCAAGAAGGAATAATGTGCAGAATTAGAATTAGTAGAAGGGGAAGCTGTGAAAGAGTGGAGGCATTTGAGCCACTTAAAAAGATTTAGAGATAAGTTACCAACAATCTCAGCTATTGGTTTCGGCGTCTCCAGAAGCCTAGTTAGACAGCTTGCTACCCCTAAAGTGACTCGAACCAACAGTAAAAGACTCCTTAGGTTACACGTTCCAATCATTCCACTCAATGAGGCTTCATAACGTCATCGACTGACTTTCTTTTCTCAAATAACATTATACCTAACTATAAAATTACCTTGTTATACAACTTATTTGTAGAATTGGGAAGAGATATAGCAAGATTGCTACAATGAAAGTGAATAAGAACAGTTGCAAATATTAGACTAGTAGGATGCCTACTCTCAAATGCCAAGGTGGTGGAAATGTTTCCTACCCCACAAAAGTTGTCGCGGCACCAACAGAGGAGAATTCCAACTAGAAACAAGTTGTTCAGATACACATTTTTAAATATTCCCAAGTTGAGTTCTAGAAGCACGCATTCTGATATATGTGTGATCAGTGCCCAAACACACATAGACATGTAATTTTGTTGTAAAATGTAAATCCTGCAAATGAACAATACATGCGAAAACAGTCGAAGTTTAAAATAAACTAATGTGAATGGATTTCTGAATAATTACAGCTGTGATGAATGATTTTGAAATGTAATTAAATTAGTCTTCCTGTCTGTTTAAAAAGTGAGCCTTGGATATCATTTCAAAAATCACCCTTTATAAACAACATTGATAGGATAACAAACAAGTACAAACTGAAAAGGAAACTTGGAGGCATAAAACCAACAATTACTACGACGTATCATCGGAAATGAAACATAGAAATGGGACATGGAAAGTATATTGGAAAGCTAAAAATGAGTTTCTCCAGATGTATTAGGAATATTTCAAATGAGAAAGTAAAATTCTGAAAGTGACTAAGGTGCGGACATGAAGTCAAAGGAAATGTCTTACTTTTAATAAAAATATACATTGAGCAACTAATGAAAAACTAAAATTTATCAGCTCACCTTGTAGTTTTTGAATTATTTATTAGATATCTTAAGCAAAATTATTCTGCCTGAATTCCACATGAGACTTGTAGGATAATACATATTTGCACAAGTTTCCGTGATATCGTACCACGCGCTAATATTCATGTTTTAAACAAAAAACCGAAACCATCCTCAAAACAATAAATTTAATAATTATTTAAAGTTTCAAAATTGTTTTCGAATATAATATCAAAATTTTTTATTATAAACAGTTGTTACTGGCGCCTACTTTAGTTGTTGCGCTGCCAGACGGTTGGTGTGTATGTGAGTTGACATGTTGGATATGAATAGTGTTTTAACTAAACAACGTGTGAATATGTGTTGGTAGTATGCTTACTATTATTCACAAACCAAATGGCGATGTACTCATGGATTCTGACTTTAATAGGTGAAGTTACAAAGGTGTACTTCAGAATTCTTTGACTAGGATCATCAACTACTGGTTTTTTTGTGCGTCCATATTATGTTAAAGGCCGAAATAAACAACAAAAGTCAAAGCAGGCAAAAAACTTTAAGACCATGACCTCGCGAGTAAAAAGATAGCAATGCCAAATGCACGCATTCACATTAGCCGCAATATTTGTCTATTGGCTTTAATTTTAAGTCCGTTTTCCGATTTCAGCAGACTAGTGACGGGTTTGAAAATATTGGAATCCGTTTTCGCACTAGAACTTTTGAAATGGTACGAAAACTGAGTCAGGGTACATCAATTCTCTCTCACTTTTCTTAAGATTACATAAAGTCAGATTGACAAATAATGTACGCTTACACAATATGTTTTCTTTTAGTATCCTGATGTCATATGCATAAATCAGATACTTCTATCAGATCAAATTTCAATGTAGGTTACGGGGAGTCACCAGTAGTTTATTTTCATACTTTCACAGAATAAGCTTGTCCTAAGATATCTCGAACCATCAGTCACATTTATGTTTTGGCATGACTACTGAGTAAGTTTTCAATCCAGTTTTACCTCAGCTAACATTACTATTTAAGGAGAGCTGTGAATCAGAGTGCTTAAAGCATGTTCAAATCACTTTGTTCAGAGAATATTCCTAGCCCTGTTGGTTGGTGTAATTCCTTTAATATTCTTATTTTGATCTCTGCACAATATATATGATTCTATCCAACTTGTATATGGTCTTATTTCCAATGCCATATCTGAACAGTCTTTAAGTATTGTCTTAGTTTCAATATCTGCTAAAATCATACCAATGATTCACAGAGTTTTGTATTTAAGATAATATGCAACTTGTTACACAACATGGTTTTATTACCTACATTCTTCAGCTGTGATTAATCGATGTGGTTCCGATTGATAACTATATATTCAAGAGCTCGAAATTAACTGTACTTTTCTTCCAATAACTTGATGATACATCATTCATGAGGTATATATAGTGCTAATTATATTGCTTAGCGTAAAATCTAATTAGATTTTCGGAATAGCTGCCTTCCAAGGGACCAGTTTTATTTATTGACACTATTAATAAGACATCACCTCTATTCGTACACTCATGAACTGGAACTAAAGTACTTTGTATTTGGGTAATTTCATAAAATTATTGGGCCTCAACAGCTGCATGCTTTCAAGTAGGTGGTACTTTTACCATAATATATACTTTTCGTTCATCTATCCATCAAAAATTCTTGAATGCTATCTGTAGACGAATAAAGGCAGCTGTTAGATATATGTATTTCAGACCTTATCGAAAGTCTACAACCTTATCTTAACACCCTAACTGAAGGCAGTGACATTAAAATCTTTCGGTATATGTGTTAACAAGACAGTTCTGTAGTTGTTAAGATTGAGTTTGTCAATATTCTGTCTCTTCTGACTAGGGAAGCAGAACAGTATTCTAAAATATCCAGTCTAACAGAATGATTTATCTTTGCTTATACCAGAATCTGGGTTTGTGCTATCATCGACTGCTCTCCAATATGCTGTTTTTTACTCGAAATGTTAAATCCTCTGTTGCTCACTTACTCTATTTGATCTGTATTGACATACTTTCACTGTTAGGATTTATAAAATTTCATTTGAAAGGAATGAATGTAGGTTAGAAACTCTTTGTTTAGAAATGTAAACATTGTCCTGTTATCTGAAGACAGTGTGATGCGTGTTTTTGTTTTTAGGACAACTTCTACTTGGAAAACTTCTCTTTCTAATGATTGTCTTAATTTTGTTCGAAATAGTTTGGTACACACTTAATCCAAACTTCCGTACTTTAAATCGTTTTTTGTTTGCATTTATCTTACGTGAAGAAGACGAATTGTGACGAGATTTTTAGTGATAATGTTATCTATACTGGGTCCCGAATGTAGACTATCCTGGTTTTACTTCACGCTTCATCTGCTGGTAATTATGCATTTGTTAGTACTGAAAAACATATTTCCATTTCACATTCTTTTGATAGTCGCTATGTTATCTCGCCGCCGAAGAACACCTCAGTTTGCCACTTAGCAGACTAATTGTGACCAATGCTATATTCAATTCTGTGAAGAAAACAAATTATGGCATTCTCTATAGACAAAGTAAGTTCATCCTAATTACTAACAGTGTTTTCTAATTAGAATCATTTAAATCAGTCAACACTAAATGACAGACGTCAGGAAATATCCCATAGGGTTGGTTCGCTTGTGGAATTATTTGACTTCTTCCTATTGAATGGTGGAAACGCCATTGATACAATGACGGTTAACGCCTTTTTGTACACTTACCGTTTATTTGCTGATATAGAAGTGGTTTTGGAAGTAGTAGATAAAAAGCAAGTATGCCTTTTTATAATTTTTATATTAATCCATATAGGTTTTGGAATATGTGTCATTCAGGCTCTTTATCTACTTCTTGGAAAGTTGGGATCATTTCGTAAGTTTTGTTAGCATTTACTCTCAGTTGATAAATTGCTGTTTCACGTTCCTTTCATTCTTGTAATTAGTTCTGTTTCAGTATATACAATATCACAAAACTTTTTCTAATGACACTTCGTTTTAGATGTACCTTCGGTAGCGTCTTTTACTGTATACATTTTTATTAAGACAAAAGTGTATCTCTTCTTAAAACTTTGTTTACGTATATATTTTTTAATTTTCTTTATTTAAACACACAAACCTTGGTACACTGCGGCACCTATAAGATGCGCCATAACGTATATATAAACCTCATAATTTAGCTACTCAATTCTGCAACTGCTTTCATAACGACAAGATTAGAATTATTGGTGGCTGTAATCTAGAGCTGTAGAATTAGGAGATCAAGTTTCTTGCCCATAAGTAGTTAAATACAACATACTCTCAGTTGGCATACTATTTCTAATGAAATTAATTTTATAAGACAGTCCCTCTACTCAACTTCCAACTGTACCATCAATGGCCTTAAGTTTCACTTTGTTGTCAGTCTGAATGATCAGGTAATAGTTTTCCTCCTGAAGAACAACATATGCAGCTTATCGAATGGTCTTGCGTCGTACACTAGTTACTAGTACTAGTCTGACTAAAAATTTCCCCTAATCTTCGTCATTGTGTCTACATGAGACATAGGAGTTGTTTAACGTTTTCACTCAAAGCATACAGACATATGCATCATGATATTCTTCCATGGTTAACAGAACCTAAATAGTTGTGACACTGATTGCAAATCACAGCTAATTCCCAAACAGATCTTAATGCCTTTTGAAAGTTGGCTAAAGAAATTCACACTAGATTCTTCATAAAATATGACATAGTGATTCAGGGATATCTTCTTGTTAGCATTTAAAAATATATATATATATATAGGGTGTAATACTTCTATCAAAATCAGAATGTGTTATCTTTCAATTTAGAGGTGGCAGGACTTTTCGGACTTTTATTGCATTTTAGTTGTATCCGTTCATATGCGTGGTGTATTTCTGAGCCAGCTGAAACAACATCCATTGTATGCAATAGGAAATTTTAAAGAAAAATAAAATGCATGTTTTGGACATAAATTTTTTACTTGAGGTCGAGTAGATGTTCTGTGAAGATCGACTACTTACAAACTATAAATTCAGAATGAAGCTTATCATTGCAACTTAAATAGTCGACTCATCTTTACAATCAGAGGTCATGAATGTCTCCAAAGCCTCAGGATGGTCGGGGGTGGGTGCCTTACGCTGCGGGTTGGCCACCCCTCCCACACCTCTTGAAATGCTCCCATATAACCGAGCGTCTTACATAGCCTCTTCTGAGGAAGTCCTACTCACTGCCTACACGTGGCGGAGGTGTTTTTCACCAAAGTGAGAGAGCGAAAACAGATGCCCGGCGCTCTTCACCGGGTTGACTGTTCATTGGATGACAGTCTAGGGGAGATGGCTAAACCCTGATTCCAAACCTCCAACAACTGGCGTATGAAGCTCACTGAAGCTCACGGGCAGACGTATGGACAAGGGGCTTGTTGGATGTCCTGGATGTTTGGCCCCATTCAAAATGGCGTGTGAACCGAACTCCGGTCACCGGCTGCCAATGGATAGGGGACTCCCTACTCCACTCCTACTGCCTTGTAGGTCACACCTGGTTGTGTAAAGGCTAGAGCTGCACTCTCAAACAAAAGGCCGAGCGATTCTGGGGACATCACTCGTACCAAATTCCCATGAAACTTCATGAACTCTCTTACAAACGACTCTCACCATGCTACGGCGTTCCCTGTAAGCGATGCGCCCTGTGCTCACCCGGTGGCCAGTCTGTGGAACAGGAATCGGATAACCCTGTCGCAAAACCTTGCATCAGATCACCGCGCCTGGGCAGCGATGATTCGAGATGTTTATGAAGCCGGCTCATCCTCCCGTAGGAGATAGCCGAAGTAAAGTAAAGTAAGTATGAATGTTAAGGCCTTTCATGCGTGTTAGCAGGAATTTAACATTTAGTAAAAAATTTTTATTTTCAGATGCTATTACATTGATATTTTCTCAACACTACTTTATTTGATACAGTTTTCATATATTATTGTATTGAATTTTGAATTAGGTCAGACAGAAATCCTAGTTTAAAAATCATTCTTTTCTTGTGAAAATTAAATACTTCAAGAAGACACTATTTTTACTCCTCTCTTTTTGTACATATAGGTCTTTTCAGTTTCTTCTTAACGCATGGTTGCAACAACCTCATTTGAAAGATTTTGATTCTCCACAGAAAGTTATATATCTTAAACGGTTAATACGAATTATTGCTGATTGGTTTGACATTTTTCAAACTTCTTCCTCCTCTCAAAGTAGTCATGTATATGCGTTGAAAGATTTTATGAAATGCTGTGGAAATAATAATGTACCTCCTTCGAAAAATAAAGGTGTGACACGGATTATGCTGTGCAATATTGATTCAGAAATTTGGGATCGACTTACAACAGATATGGAGGTGTTATGCAGACGAGCTGTAAACTGTTTAAAACACATTGCATGTAAATATCAAATTGATTTAAATCCTGAAAAAGAATTTCTACCATCACACACTGTCACTGTGAATCGAGGTATGTTTAAATTTTTTTTTAAAATACTTACCAATAAAAATTTTTAACATATTTATCCACATAATTTTTATAACTGTGGAACTCACAAGACTACATATTCAGCAGATGAGACTTGTGTGGCATGAAAATCCTTTGCAAATATCTTGGAAGAAAATAGTGATTTAATGCGTAGGTTAGGTCTTATTCTATCGACTATGGTTTAAACACACAACTAACGCTATTTAATCAAGTAGATTTTTTATGCTTCTGTTAGTTACATAATTATAGATTTCCTTGTAGTAAAATTATGACACCACCTCTTCTATGGCAGTTAGGACTGCTTAATGTTGGTGAAAGATCTTATTTGCTTTCACAGTTTCCTGGATTTTCAAAGCGAAAACAAGGATTCAAAAAGTTATTACAAGAAATCTGTGAATTAGTGACTTGTTAAATATTTGATTGTAGCTTTTCAGTCAATGTGGTCAGATGATGTTACTCTCGGTCTTAGCACTCGACTTCCAACTAGCTGATCACAGATTCAAACTAATACTATGTCGTCACCATACAAAAATATGTCAGTGTTTACTTAAGACAAATAGGCACTGTTAGTGACTTACATCGAACATTATCATTGATCATTCCTGAAATTAAGTGTAAAAAGTTTCCGTTTATTTTTCTCGGTTCCATTTTCCTGAATAAGTGGTATAAACACTCTGTTGTCAGCGTTTCTATATGTTGATAAATATTTTCAATAAAGCAAGAACAATAGTGTATGCAGAATAAAATGGTACCATCATTTATTTCGTTGGCCTCTCATCAGCTGCTCACAGCCTAAAGACATTATTAAATTTATGTACAGAAACAATTTTAACATACTTACACAGAGGGTTCATTTTTAAACAAAAATTCAATGTGTGCATACAATGGTAATAATAATAATAATCGCTTTATCCCAAACAAATAATAACCATACAGATTGGAATTTTCGGCGTTACGTAATCAAATGGAAGAGGGGATGAAAACATCCAGTTACCAGGGTAAGGGAAGACTGATAACCGCTTCTTTCTGAACACTTAAACTGGGTTTCAGGCTCTTGATGGAGATTACTTCGGCAAACTTGAGGGGAATTGACCTCTTTTGTCTATTGACAATTTTGGACAATGTTGCGACATCCACATTATGACCCATGTGAAGATACCTGGCAATGGCACTGTTCAAAGCATTTGTTCCCTTGAGACTTATACTTTTTGGTACATGTTCAGAAAATCAGACGTATGCTCTTCTTTCTGTTCTTCCAATGTAAGTGCTCCCACAGACACATGTGAATTTGTATATACAGATGGAGTTAACATGAGAAGGGTATCTGCCGACTTTTGACTCCACCAAAAAGACCGACTGTCTTTAAATTCATCTCCATCCCAATAACACTGAGCAAACTTATGACATTTTGCATATATTCTCGATGAAGTATTTTCTTTAAATTTATAGTGTATTCAAATTTCCCTAAGCAGTTAATTTTTTGCAAAGTGGTATACATGGAAATACTATTTAAAGGTCTTCCTTCTGTCTTCTTTGATACAGAATGCTTTCTTTTGTCTTTCTACAAGTTTACTTTGAATCCTATTCACTGGTATCTCGATCGAATTTTGAACCTAATTCTCGGTTTCTTCCGTTGAGAATATATAAATTTCTAGTGAGAATAGTAATGTTTTACAAACGCTTGGCACCTTAAATATCGATTTCTAAGCCGTCTTAATTGTTGATACTTCTTTGCATAAGTTTCAAATCATTTTTGAATATTAACCTCCTAGGTTACTGAGGTTCATTCAGTGACAGCACCATCTAATACAGAATTAAAATGAAAGAAACTTTGAAGAAAGTTAAATTGGACCACCTCAAGGAATAAGCAAAACAAATATCATATCAACCTGTGTGTTTTATTCCACCACATAAATAGTTACGTGATATGCGTATTTGAATATGAGTAATAATAAGTCAGTTTTAATTCAGTATGGCTTGTCACTAGAATCAATAACTGTACTATTCTCTGACGCGTTTATTTCACTTTCTTCTCTGTATGTTGCATATTTGGTTTCTTGTTAGGCTTAGTGACAATTTAAAGTGATTATTTTTTAATAGCCCCCGCCCCCACTTTGGTCTGTCTCTCTGTCCCACATGTTTAGTTAGGACTGTGACTCACTAATTGTATTTTTTTATTTAAAACATAAACTTGGTTCATTATGAGCACCAAAAGATATACACCATACAGAATAACTGAAAAAACAAACAAAGGGGAAATGAAATAAATCAAATGAGGAGCAGCAAAGCGAAAACTGGTCAGCATATCTCTCGAGAACATCCAGAATAGCGTTCATTATTTCATTCTACTTCCAGAAATAAGTGAGGGTAGGAAATTGTAGCATGTTCACTACTGAGTCACATGGTCTTTCAGACTCCATCCATGGAGTTGTGATGCACCAACAGTCACTAACCCAGCATAACTGTCCTCCCTGTCGAGGCGCTATATCATTGGCTGATTGATTCTTATCTTTTATCCATCCAGTCCCAGAGCTATCAATCAGCGAACAGTGTGGGAGCCACTGGGATGTCTACTGGAACTTCTGATCTGTTCCGTGCTTAATTTATGCAGGATTATCACTAGTGAGAGACATTAACATAGAACTTAGTATTACTGCGTCCTAGTCAAGGTTGCTTTCACCTCATACTGCCGTGTTCTGGTTTAACCAGCCCTTCACATTTTCATAATCATTCCCAAGGCTATCAAGCACTGAACAGTGTGGAAAATGTTGGGATGATATTCGTGGTACAAATATGGTAGTTTATGCAGCCACATATCAAGTGACATGATTATGAACAATAAATTTTGTTTGAAACGTCATCCAATAAACCATACCGTTTCACTGTGTGATGTATCCAATAAACAAATTAAATGGATCTGATACATTCCCATTATCTTAATTTAACTGATGAAGTCCTAATAGCATGAAACTTGTTACCATACAGCGGCTGAATAAAACTTTTATAATACCTCTTCTTTTTAACCTCCTTAGGAGTTTGTCAATTTTGTGGCCTCAGTGGCACATCTCCATTATGCTCTATTCTCTGCGATTGCTTTCATCATACTGCATCTCCTGCTAGCTTTCATTTCTTGTTCACATGGTGTCACTTGAATATCCTATCAGCGCATGTTCAACTGACCACTATTTCCTTCTGCTTATTTGTTGGGTAGTAGGTTGCTGTCTGGTTCGCCGCCGAAGATCTTTATTGATTACTGTTTTCGGTCCACCATCTGATCTTCACATGTCAAGTGATCCACAACGGAAAACTCAACGAGGCGTTTTGGAGTAAACACAGCAGTCAGACAAGGGTGCTTATTATCACCAATGATATTCCTAATTGTGGTGGACTGGATTATGCGTCAGACAGTGGGAAAAGAGAAGACAGGGATATCCTGGACCGACGTGAAGAACCTAGAAGACCTGGATTTCGCGGATGATTTATGTTTGATATCACACAAAATCGAAGACTTACAAGCGAAAACCGACAAACTGGTCGAAGAAGCAGCAAAGACAGGACTCCAGGTGAACATGGACAAGACGGAGGTTATGAAAATAACCAACCAACCAACAACAACAGCAGCAGCAATATCCAGCGCCAATCACCATCAACGGGAGGGATTTGAAAGAGGTTACTTCATTCACTTATCTAGCTAGGGAGCATTGTCTCAACTACAGGAGGAACGGACGAGGATGTCAAATCGAGAATCAGGAAGGCGAGAAACACATTCATCAACCTGAAACCAATCTGGAAATCTTCGTCACTCAGCATCAACAACAAAATTCAGATTTTCAATACAAACGTCAAGTCAGTTCTTCTATACGGATCAGAAACTTGGCGGGTCACAAAGAATATTTCCAACAGCCTGTTGCAGACCTTTATCAACAACTGTCTTCGTTCTATACTGAAAATCAGATGGCCGGAAAGAATCACCAACAAGAAACTATGGGAACAAACAAAACAGGAACCAATCGCTCAACAAATATGCAGGAGAAAGTGGAGATGGATTGGACACTGGCTGAGGAGGCCGCTGGGTGACATCGCGCGTCAGGCCAGTGCTCGAGTGGAACCCGAAAGGGAAGCGGCGAGTGGGACGTCCAAGGGTGACATGGAGGAGATCGTGTGAAGAGGAGTTGAAACAGTATGGACTAACATGGATGCAGGTGAAAAGTACAGCAGAAGACAGAAGCAAGTGGAGACGTGCAGTTGAAGCCCTATGTTCCACTAGGAACCCAAGGGAACAATAATAATAATCTGATCTTCAGTGTCGAGCGAAAGCACGTGTTGATGAAAGTCTTCATTAATATTTTAGAAATGCTTTTGGTGACGCGTACTAAGTCTCTAAACCATACAAAAGCACTGACTTGACATTAATGTTGAAAATGCGGAGTGAGTTCAGTCGATTCCCACTGAGATTTCAGACTAATGTTCTTTTGTCTTGCTTATTTTATGGATCCTGGCTGTTTTTGACACTATTCTCCATGTCACATGTAATTGAGGTTATGCTACCAGGGTTAAACAATTGTAATAAAATAAAAGTGTATTCCGGAAAAATATCTAACAAGCTTAGTACTAGAAAGCAGTATTACTTCATAAAGGTTCACTGGGCATCTTTTTAGTCTGGTGCTCAAATAGTTAGAAATTAACACTTCTCTTTGTTTAAGTACCTGTGAAGGAAGTCTAAAGTTATACTCACTGATCACTGCAATGTTCTAAATGATTGATTACATTACTTATTTATAACATAAATAGTTATTGACTACATGAAACACTGTATACTTCATTTTTGTGGTTAGTCGTCTACCTTTTGTAATAATGTCAATTATTGCCAGTATTATACATTTCAAAAAGTTGTAACTCATTGTAAATCGTATACTATTTTCCTTATGATTTTTCCCCCCAGATTATCGTTATCATTCACCGCATAATCGTTCAATGTTCAAATCAAAAAATCTATCAAAAGAGACTGTTATTATACCACCAACTGTTAATCCTTTGATTAATTTATGGAATTTAAATGTGAATACAGTAGCTGAACAATTAACAGTAGCTGATCAGGTAGGAAGACGTATTCTCAGTATTATTGTTGTTCCATTCTCTCTTTTATTCGTCAATTACCAGAAGTTTATGTATCCGGGTTTTGTCAGTAAAAAAATGTTTAGAACCTCTTCATTCTTTCAGCAGACAAGTCAATCTTTCTCAGCGCAGACTAAACTATTTAGAATGTCAGTAGGAACAAGTCTCTGAATGTGTCGTTAACTGTAGTTGTCTTGATCGAAGAGTACTAGTGAAATATAATTTCCATAATGATTTTATCAAAGAGTGTTCACTGAGTGTTTTATTATTATTATTCACAACACTTTAGTAAATAATGTGCATTCTCACCTTTTATGCAAAATTGCTAAACCTTTAGCTTTAAGTGAAATATATTATGATCCTGTGACTGTATTGAAATCTGACAGTATTCATATATTCTTCAGTTGCTGCTCTAACGTAATTAACAATCTTTTCATCAATGAGGTTTAGTTCTCAATCTCAGTTTTCAGATTGACATCTGAAATCTGTGTAATTCATTATAGAAGTAGTCAATTATTATTTTTTAAAATTCTATTTTTACAAGCTTAGTAACACTTTTATGATTGAAGATTCAATACTAGCAATAATAATTTTATTAAATTGTGGATTTAAAAAATTATTGGTTGGAGGATTTCATTGTGAGCTGACATCGGTTAGAGAACCATTGGAAAACCTGGGAGTACCGGATAGCTGTTTCGTCCTAGTTTGAGACTCTTCGAACCCCGGGGGTCGCAGTGCGGAAGAGTCCTAAACTAGGATGAAACAGCTGTCCAATACTCCTAGGTTTTCCAATGGCTCTCTAACTGATGTAAGCTCATGATGAAATGCTCCAAACAATCAAACAAAATCCCTACAAGCCAATATATAAAAATAAATTGTTTTGTCTGAGAGGCAGACTGGATATCCAAATAATTCGTGAGCATATATCAGTGTAGAGTTTTAGAATGCTTTTAAATGTAATCACCAGAATCATTAATAACTATTGTTCTTTTATAATTTCAATTCTTAACTACCATACTTCTGAATTGTCGCAACGGAAGGTTGTTTCATGGAGCGTTATCATATGAATATTAATCGTCACTATTGATTGTACATGAAGAATATTCACATAAATATTCTACTCTACTCTGAAAAAAAACTGAAAGAACGTTTTCTGAAACATTTCACGGTGTAAGCCATAGGTAGTTTTTCGACTACTTCTCAGTTCGAGGTAACGCAGTTACCGATAAATGTAGGATAGACACTTGCTATCAGTTTTGCTTTTCATAGTCAAGTGGGTGGTCTGTTCCTCTCCTCACACACGTATAGTACAAGTTGTACATCGGTTTTCTTTGTATCCCCTTTGCTGAACTTTTCTTCAGCAGAGTAAGGTGATTTCTTAGTTGTTTTTTTCTTCTTTCAACGCGTCACCTTTATAATTATTTTTTTACATAGTCTCTAAACTTAGACATTTTTATTTCATACCTATTTTTTGTTTTACATTATAGCGATTATTTCTGAGTATAGAATTAAATGATTGTCTAATATATGCTAGGGGGAAACCAGCTCCATCTGTACAAGCTACAATAGATCAATATAATAAATTATATCAATTCGTTCAAAGTTCAGTGTTTAATTCAGATCAAGATTATCCAATACTAGTGGAACCAACACCGATACATTCAAGACGTTTTCGTAGACCAGATCTGTATAATAGTTCTGCTACCAGGATCAGTCCACAGATAATAACTATATGGTCTAAAAACTCAAATTATTCAACAAACTATCAGTCTTCAACATCAGATATTGGTAAATTAAAAACTGGATGCATCATTACATGGATTAATATTGCCTATGTAAGTTATTTATAAAAATCTAAAAGCGCGCATGACTTTTTTTGTTTTGTTTGATAAATTAGTATGGTTGAAATACTTGTTGTTAAAGGATGCAAAGCTTATAGCCTATGTGCCAATATGATGTATGCGCGATCATCTGCTATGGCATGCAGTTGAGTAGCACTCTTTTAAGTTGCATACATTTATTCCCCTTAATGAATTTGAATGAAACAAGAACACGTTTTTGCAGAATAATATGGTACCGTCATTTATTTCGTTGACTTCTCGTCATCTCTTTATAGCCTAAGTAAATTATTAAGTTTATATAGAGACAAATCTTAACATACTTGCAAATTTTACATGAGTTCACTTGACAGGAGGTTCTGCACTTAGTAAACAGTGCTTAGAAAATTATGCCTATATATGTTGCATGGGGAGTTCAAGTTTTTTAAGCAAAGTAAATGTATGCATACAATGGCAAGGGAGTTACGTAATAGAGACAAGGGATGCGTAAGATCATGAGTAACTAATAAATTGAGTAACAGTGTGCTGAGTTCAACTCAAATCATGGAAACAAGAGACAAGCGAAATCGCATTATATCAAAGGGGGATGAGTTTAAGGCCTAATATTACTCAATCAAAAGAAAAAGAGAATAAAGACGTCCAGCTGATAAGAACCCAACGAAATAGATGATGGTACCATGTTATTCTTGCTTTCCTCAAACTCTTTTAAGTAGTAACTATAAGCAAAACTAAGATGTGACATGAATAAGGACATAAACATTAGCTCTTCTGTAACTATAGATTAAACTCCTAGATGAAAATTCCATTATTTATTTGATTGTTTGTATATTTTTTATTATTTCCTTTAGTTCCTAGAGGAACATAGGGCTTCAGCCATATCCGAATAATACTTAGGAGAAGCTATGCCATATGTCAAAGTACAGTTGCTGCTGAGTGAGCGAAGAAATCCTGAATTAGAAAAGTCATGCAGTCTTGTCACTGTTTTTGTTTGTTTGCTCCAATATACTTTTGATGTTTTGTCTTTGCGTTTCACACTCACCTGTGTAAAGGTTAAGTATGTTCCCTGCTCCACATATTTAGTCATTTGTCTGGTTTAACACAGAGAATGATAAATGTAAACTAAAACCAAACTAGGACGAAACAACTTTCCAGTAATTGTTCTCTAACCGATATCAGTCAAATCCTTATCAACTAAAACATGAGGTTCTTCCATGTATACTTTCATACTTTTACTCACTCGTGTAGGCATTTGACTTCCAGTTGGCAGATAAATGTTTGAAACTTTTGATACATAATGTATATGGCTGTATAAGCCTAGTAAAAGGTTTCTAATTTCCATGTACTCAACTCAGTGTATATAAGGTGTTCGACTGTTAGCTGTGAAGCAAATATGTAATGTGTTTATTAGTTTTGGGTCTTATAACTACCTGTTTTTATATCCATTAGGAGTTGAAGAAGCTAGAATATGTTGACTTGTCTTCAGAATGATTAACTTTTGTGTTCTCTGCCAATATGGCATTAGACACCATTTTATGTTGTAGATTCCTTCCATAAGGTCCTTACCAACATATGTTTATCACAAATTAACAAATCAAACACCCTGTATTCGATTACTTCATGGTTTTCAAGACTTCTATTTAGACTTGGAATGTGACCAAGGTTCTCATTCAAATTGAATCCTTATCGTTGCATACACATAACTATTTCCTATGGTTCGACCGTCACCTGGCCAATTTTTCCTCTGTATTCAATAGAATTATATTCTGACATAGCAGAAAAGACTCAGTAAGACAAATACACCGTAACAACGAATGAGGTTCCGTTTATTTGAGACTAGTACTGCGACCCCCAAATTATTTAATATGTATCGTAAAAAATGTATAAATTATAATCTACTTTGTTGTTAGAATTCTCTACACTCTATTTTTTTGTTTTGATTAATATATATTTTGTAAGCGATTAGGACAAACAAGAAATTATTCAGCATTGAAGGCTATTATTATGGCTTTACAGTCTACTCCAATACACAGATTATGGCACAGTTGGAATGTTTTAGAGTAGTAAGTCTGATAAATTATTTTAATGTAAATATTTTTTTATGTTGTTGCACTTTTTGACTTGGTTGGCTTAATTGTAAAGCTTTGATTATCTTTGCAAACAATAGGTTCAGCACTAACTTCTAAATAAAGTTAGCTTATATGGTTGTGTGAGTGTCTGTTAATTAAAAAGTGTTCTAAGCATTATGCTTCCAAGAATTCTATGCTATTCTTAGTGTTTCTTCTTTTAAAGGTCTTCACATTCCACAAGTCCAACTGGTGTCCATAGTTGTCCATGTGCACTGATATAACGTATTTGTCTCATATTGTTGGATTTCTAGTTTATATTCATAGATCGATAGATTCGGCAGACATCCAGTTTGACTTTTTAAGGTTGATGCAGTTCATCTTACAGATTATGTTGTCTTTCGTTGTTAAACCTTTTGGTCTACCTGGTATGGAGGGAGGAACTTGTGTTGGCTTGCGAGAAACATTCATGCTGAAAAGTTTTAATTCTCTGACATTAGTTTCAAAAGTGTCTTTCATATATGGTAGATTAACTTTCTTTGCAGCTTCATAGAATGGTTTTGTATTGATTTGATGATGAAATTGGTCGTATATGCATTTTGCTAGGAGATGATTCTCTTCCATTCTCCCCGATTTGTTTGTGCTTTATTGTGTCGTGGCTCTTTAGAGTAATGTTTGCATACAGCGTTTTGATGTAAGACTTGAGGTCTGTAGTAGAATGTAATTCCATATTAATTTGTTTATTGGATATATCACACAGAGAAACAGTATACTTTACTGAATGACGTTTCGAACACAATTTATTGTTCATAATCATATCAATTGTAACTGCACAACTTCGAAACTTGATTTTTATAAGAGAAGTAGGAATTTCTAAATGTCGGGGATACATGCTGAGTTATCCCTTTATTCTAAGTTGATTTGATACGTAAAGCTTCAGTTATCAATCTCTGCTTCTGTTACATTAGATTTTAATAGTATCATTTTGGTGTTTTGGGTTTGTTACCTCTCTAACTGAGTTTTTGATCTGAGTTGACTTTCTGTTTTTCTATTTCTAACTTTTCTTGCATGTTCTCTTTGTGGTGATGTGGTTTATTAGCTTCAGAACTTGACTTTCAGCCAGTGTATTGCAGGTTTGAATCCTTCTTAATCTGCTTCAGCTTGAAAGAAATGGTAGTGTCACCAGCCCTCACACAATAAGTGTGTTTCATAGTCATGGATTAGAGAAACTTGCTCTCCGTAACTGAGTTCTAACAACTTATTCACTTGACTAAAAATCTTGTTTGATTCCTATTCTCCCGTAAATTTGATATGCTTGAAAGCTCCTGGACATTCTTCTGACGTCTATTGTAGACATAAATGATATGGTGCGATTGATGAAGAAAGTATTAAATGATTAGATACTTATCATATGAATCCAAAGGAAATTCAAGTGCGTCTAGGTCACTGAAATCAACATTAGACTTCAAGAAAACAAGTAATTCAACGAAAAGACTTCATTGATTTTACTGACTAGAGCTGTTAAAATAAAATTATCGGCAATCTTTCTCTCTTGAATGTTCACTGTTGCTTGATATTTAAATTATTTTTGTTCGGGAAAATTAGAGATAAGCCAAAACCAAATACCATAACGTAGAAATACATGTTTGCTGAGACTAGTGATTGACAATGAAATAATGTCACCGAAATGGAAAGGTTACAAAGTTCCGATGATAAATTGTGTAACACGGCATAATATTTAGTAAGGAGATTATCATCGAAATGAACATGGAAGCATTGAAGAATTAATACTGCATAAGGACTAAGTAATTTATAGGAATTAGAATATAAGAATTTTTGAAATCCTGAAGATTAGGATCTTGAAATGCGTCGGTGGTATAGCGGTTAGGACGCTAGCCGACCATGCACATGGTCCGCAGGATCTTGAAATAAGGTGATGTTATGAAAACCGGTTTTGAGTTTAAGTTCTCGACTCACTATTATGATGGCTAAAGTTTGGTCAACACAATTAAAGAGAAGTTGAGGTTAAATATTCTGTGTCAAGAAAGTGTTGATTGGTCTGCTGTTATTTTAGATCCACAGTTATCTATTTATCGTCACACAGGACACCGTCCTTAAAGGATTCGAGTGAAATAAGTGATGTATCTAGACCTACAGGATCAAGTGACCTGGTATACACACAAACGTGCTCAGATTTGAGTTCTCATAATATAGGATTGGACCGTATTACTATCATAGTTACCACAAACAACATTCCCTTCAAAGTTATATTCATTTTTTGTAATAGGTGGGACGCTTGTAGAACTAAGATGCATATATGTATATATATATATACATATATATATGTATATATATGCTCTTTCTTATAGTAAAAGAATCAATCATATCTACGAAATTTTAGCTTAATGTTTTTGTCTATAGTATGAGATGGATATCTGTTTTTGGCTGGGATTTTTCGTAGGTAATTTACCTTTCAGTGTAGCAGAAAATATCGAATTCGGACATATAGTATTTGTAGTTCGCTAGTTAGTAAGTTTATGTAAACTTTATATCAATCGCAGCAAAAACCTATTTCAGTCCTGTTTTGGAACAACTAATATATAGGTCTTGGCTGAACATTGAACAAAGACTCATAGTTTCAATTAGGATCGTAAATTTGTTCTGTGCTATGAACTGTACCCAAGGAATTATCCCTTCTTATTTATATCTCACCTGATAAATCAGAGTTAGCTGGCGTCTTTCGCGTGTACTGAATATCCAAGGTTATTTAAATTGTTCACCACTTGACTTATTCCTGTTGTATAAAATGTTCGTCTACTTCACTGAATGTTTCTATCATTACAATCGACTTTTGCTCTAAAGTTGTCATTTGTTTAAATGCATCAATTTGTATTCTTTTATTTCAAATTTTTACTTATCATAATATTTTCTTATTTTAAACTATTCTTTCTTTTACCTATTCACAAAAACACCTACAATGAATTAGCCATTATCATGAACACTTTCTGAAATTTAAACATTTGGCTTCGATAGTGAGTTTTGACAACAATCAGGAACAGTTAAGGAAACGATTAAATAAAGTGAGTTATATGCTAGAATTTATGTTCATAATGCTCAAATTTTTTGTCTGAGTAATTTCAGTAACAATGTTAGAGGATATATGTATCCAAATATATAGTTGTAAGATTTAAGTTAGTTTCATTTAGGCTGATTGATTTTATTATGTTGTTCACTAAAAAGTCAAGATCAGTTTAATAACCATTGGAGGTCATATAGGGTTAAGTGAGCTTCATCAATGGTAATTACATATGACATATGGCATATAACCTCCACATCTCAGGTCTTTACTGCCTAATGCATTCTTGAAATCTTTTTCATCACTTCCATTAACTGACTGTTTTACAAATTCGTACACAATGGATCACTCTAAGTTCTGCATAACAATGAAGTGAACTAAATCAAATGAAGTTCTTTTTAATAATTCTTGATTGTCAGCGCAGCCTGCATCAACTTGTAACGTTAAGTGGTTGAAGGTGATTGGCAGGAAGCCCCGAACTTCGGTTTCGTTATTGTTGGCAATCGTGCGCAAGGCAAATATCTGCCCCTTTGGAGATGTAAGCTCACTCCACCTAGTGTTGGAATCGGAGAACTTTTCACTGACCTATTCGAGGTTATGACTGACTTCCTGTAAGACTATAATGGATATATTGATTGGTCACTAGTGCATAACGAGTGTCATGTGTCTATTCCTTTGTGTTGGCGCTGAGTGATTTCTCTCAGTCAGGTTTTCTGATGCATGTCCACAAGCTTCCTTCCTGCCTATTTCCTCCGACCATTTAACATTAATTCAAAGTACATTACAATGGCGAATTATCTAACTTCGTGACTGATGGAATTCAGTCAGAACCAACCCTGATATCCTTTAACGTATTTCACTTTGAATTCACTTTATTTACAACTACTGAGAAACAATATATCTGAATAGTGTTTTACTAACTACTAAATTATTTTGTTTTATTTCGTATTGTTATTCTAATGGATAGTATTCTGTTTACCCACTTGTTGTGTTTATATATTATAAAATAGTGTGCAAAGAAAATGTACTGGTACTTAAAACTCAATAATCCAAATCCTTTATGTGTAAGTCATACAGACTATTTTTTTTTATTGAGTTATGTTTTCTTTTGTTTTAAAAAACAAGTCATCCTAAAGATGAATATTAAACAATAAGCCATTGATGACTGAAGTATATCTGTTAATTATACAGTGTGAAAGAAGTTTCAGTAATGGTGGTACCTTTTTACTGGTTGGGGTTGTTAGCCTCACTCCCAACCTCCCCGGGTTGGCTAGGCTTATTATCAGGTGAGTAAGATTTGCGAGTGTGTTGGCCGGGAATTGAACCCGCACCACGTGAGTGGTTGAAGAGTATTGTAGCATAAAACCCACCGACTTTAGGTGATATCGGGATGGGGGCGCATGCATATATCATACAAACCTCTTTAAACTTTACACACAACTACTAAGTCGCGTACTACTCTATCTCTCTCGGCAAATTTGACAGCAAAAGGTCACAAGAACACCATCAGGGTACATGACAGGATAGTTACCTTCTAAAGACTAATACAGGAATGTTGATTTGTCGTTATATTAGTATGACGAATGATAATTTGTTCTCAGTTAACTTATAATTTACTTTTGTCATACTTGTCCAGTCGATGATAGACATATACAACCATGTTTTGTCGCATGCATTGTGAAATTGTAGATTACTTCTACCAAAGTGATTTATATATCAGAATCACTTGAAAGTTTGGTTAGATATGAATGGAATGTGGAATAGAGGCTCAGTTGTTTGTCGCCTCCACAGTTCGAGTGTTCACATCACGTATTATGTTCTTTTTGATAAGTTTGTATCAACTTACGAATCTCATTTTCATTTACTCCTCAAACAGATAGCATTACCTCAACGTTTTGTGTATAAGACTTGCATCAATAAGTTACTGAATCCCATGAAAAAGAATTTCTTTATATTATCAAAAATAGAGTCGTCGTCAAATTTGAAGAACTGTCTACAACTACTATAGACATTCATTCATAAATCCTGTAGTCTTTATCTATATAAACAATGTTTTTAAGTGGGAAGAAATGAATCTAAACATGTAGTTAACCATGAAGAGTAGTTGTTATTTTCAAAGAAGGTAACAAATGTATAATAATCTATGCTTACCAAACTAACAATTCGTCTCAAGAGGTTTTTTTTACATTTGATGATGGATTACTGGTTATGCTTTGCTAAGTTAATCAATGGTTTATACATTGAAGGTCATCTCTACTCTGAGTCAATATTAATCAAAATTAAAAATAAGTAATTTCAAGTCATATCGTTTATTTCTTTCGATTAAAGGTATTCCATATTTAAAGATAAAAACATCGTTTTTACATTAAATCAGTTATTGACTGTCTGATATGCCCTTAAAGCTTATTCAACCTTAGATCTTGTATTGTTCATTTTCTTTCATATAAGTACAACACGTTAATTAAATGCAAATCACTAACCATCTTAATCTTTGTGCACTGGACATGGCTGATTGGCTTTTAGTACTTTACTTTCTTCATCTAGTAGACCCTTGTTCCGAATACCAGTGCACCTACTTTAGCGGATGGATAAAGGTAAAACTTTAGACACCTAAATTGAAATGAGCAATTCCTCTAAAAAGCGAGTTCGGAACCCTTACCTTAATCTTTCTTTAACCCAACCGTAAACCTTCCCCTAATCTATGCCTAACCTAATCCAAACACTAATACCTCGAAAAGGCCTTCGACAGCGTTGACCGAGAAGTAATTTGGAAACTACTTCAACACTGAGGCGTACCTCAAGTCTTTACCGACCTCATTCAACAGCTATATGACAATGGCACGTGTCAGGTGATCCACAACGGAAAACTCAGAGAGGCGTTCGAAGTGCATACAGGAGTAAGACAAGACTGTCTATTATCACCGATAGTATTCTTAATCGTGGTGGACTGGATTATGCGTCAGACTGTGCACAGGGGGTGAAGAAACAGGAATACGCTGAACGATTTATGAGAAGAATCTGGAAGATCTGAATTTCACAGATGATACATGTCTAATGTCACACAGACTCGAAGACTTACAGGCGAAAACCAACAAGGTGGCAGAAGTAGTTAGCAGTGAAGACAGTACTGCAGGTGAAAATAGAGAAGATGGAGGTGATGAAGATAACCAGCCAACGGCAACAACAACAACTAGCACCAATCACCATCAACGGGAGAGATTTAACAGAGGTTGTTTCCTTCACTTATCTGAGAAGCATCGTTTCAACTACAGGCGGAACGGACGAAGATGTCAAAGTCAGAATCAGAAAGGCAAGATACGCCTTCATCATCCTGAAACCAGTTTGGAAATCTTCTGCCCTCAGTCAGCGTGAAGAACAAGATTCGGATTTTCAATAACAATGTCAAGTCGGTCCTTCTATACGGGCCAGAAACCTGGTCAGCGTGTCACGAAAAGGATTTCCAAAATGTTGCAGACTTTCATCAACAGCTGCCGTCGTCGCTGACTCCATACTGAAGATCTGGATCAACATCCAGAAAGAATCAGTAACAAGAAACTCTGGCAATGAACGAACCAACCAAGAGCCGATCGCTCAACTAATATGTAGGAGAGAATGGAGATGCATCGGACATACATTGAGGAAATCGTCGAATAACATCGCGCGCCAGGCCATCGCTCGAGTGGAATCTAAATGGGAAGCGACGAGTGGGTGGTCAGTGCGAGGGTGACATGGAGGAGATTGTGTGAGGAAGAAATGAGATATTATGGGCGATCGTGGTTCAGCTGAAGAAGATAGCAGAAAATAGAAGAAAGTGAAGATGTGTTGTTGAAGTCCTATGTTCCACTCGAAACCCAAGGGAACAATAATAATAATTAAATCAATTTAACTCTTGTCCCTGTCCTTAGCCTAAACCTAACCACAGTATTCCCCTAACCCAGCCTTCACTTATTTTGGAAGTTGCATTAGCCCCAAAGGGTTAGTCGCTGACGAAATCTCAGCACGGATACAGAAGGTTCGTTTGGCATTTGCCAACTTATGTCATTTCTGGCGTAGATGTGATATCCGGCTGGCGGCTATCAATCGAAGGACGTGTCTACTGCGAATCAGTTCGCTCCGTCCTTCCTTATGACTGTGAGACACGGTCATTGGAAGTGGAAGAAATGGAAAGGCTGATTGTCTTTAATCATAGGTGTCTGCGTTCTATCCCCCATGTGAAGTGGTATAATGTGGTGAACAGTATTGGGGATAGGCTTTGGTCAAGTGCTAGGTAGGGAGGGGGAAACCAATCGACGAAGTTGTGGAGCTACATTGATTGAGGTAGCTAGGACATGTGTTACTCATGCCTAGCCATCGCCTTCCTCGACGGGCAATGTTAGCTGACATTAGATCGATCAGGTTGGAAAAGGGCCAGTGGTGGTCAAACCAAAACATGGCATCAGTCAAGGAAATCCAAAACAGTTTAAGCCAGCCACGTAAGGACGTGTAGACTTCCTGGTTGGGGTCCTCGAGATAGGAAAAACAAATGGTGAGATGGCTCAAAATTGTTGTAAGTGGCTGGCGCAGATGCATTCACTCTGTGATTTAGAATATCCAATAAAATCCTATTGTTCTTCCATATTACTAGGCTTTTTGCCACACAAATCTGTTTATTATCTCTCTTTTAAATCTCTCTTCTATTTCCTTGTATGCTACATGGAGTATGGCAACTCGAACTGCTGCACATCTGTGCAAAGTTCCATGTTGAAACTAGTCAGCCAGTCAAAAATAATCACAAATCCTGTTTGATTTCATTATACTTCATTCAATAATCTTCATGAATATAATCATATCTACTTGGCTGCACCTTCTCAGACTAAGCGTTCCTAGGTCACTGCTGCATTCATACTTGTTGGATGTCTAAAGTATAACTTCGCCCATCAGCGGTCTGACAATATAATAATAATGATAATATAAAGTGCGCCTCACAAGCTGGTAAATAAAAAGCTAGTATTAGATAACTGATTTCCAACTCCTTTAGTGGTCTGTAAGTAAAACATTTGGTTGAAATCCATAATTACATAATTCAGACATGTTGAAGATAATACACCATAGTATGTTATTTTTACGCTTTTCTAACTTCTCGGCTAAAAGCGTCTTGTCCATTAAAAGAATTCAACTAAATCCGCTAACCAGAATAAATTTAACCAAGAAATACTGTTTAGTATTAAAAATTCATAAACAGAAGCAGTTAAACAAGGTCACTTGGCTACTGGTGTCATAAAGAAAAAGCTTATCTAAAACCAAGTTGATGAACCTTAAAAGGGAGTGAAGAATTTGGTCTATGGTTTACAAAACGACAACTCTAAAAAACTATGCAAACTATCTGAGAGAGCAGATTAAATCTCTGTTAAAGGTTACTAATATTAAAATCAAATTTCAAAGCTACAAAGTTATCTCAATGGACAGTAAATTCTGTTCAAAATAATTTTAATCTTTTGTACAATGTGCTCGACAAATAAGTTATGCACACAAGAATTTATGCTCGTACAACGAAATATAAAAATTCTACCATACTACCATATTTAGCATGGGTTTTGAATGAAGAGTCAGATTTTAGAAAAGAAATTATAAACTTTTTTAAATCAATAACTAAACTGAAAAGTATTATTATTATTACATGTATGTATTATCTATGATATTATCTATTTCTAATTCATTATGTTCCCATCAACCTTCAGTTTTTGTGGTTTTATTGTTATTACTTTTTAATTTTATCTATCCTACGTATTTATAAATGAAGCTAAATTGTTGCAGTGTGTATTAAAACGCTTAAAATTCCATTCTGTATAATTATTTATTGTTTGACATGAAGTGAATATTAGTATTATGTTGAAAAAAATCTTCATTCAGCCTATGATACTACGCAATTAAATCAATTAAATGTGCGTCGGTGGCACAGTGGTTAGGACTCTCGCCGACCATGCACATGGTCCGGGGTTCGATCCCCTGCCGGCGCACACCCGATATCTATGGTCGGCCTGCAAAATTTGGGCATGCTGAAAATTCCATACTTGTACTGAAAATACTGTGTGGAATCGAGCTGTAAATCAAAAAAATTAAAATAATTACAATCCAGCGACTCATTCACCTAAATAATCTAGTCCTATGTGTATTCATTTGCATTTCAGACACCTTGATACGTTGAGTTTTCAGCCTCTGAGGCATGATTGACTCAGACTGTAATATAAAGATCCAAACAAACGACACTCCAAGATAATGTCGACATTAAATCTTTTTCCCACAATTTCCATACTCAGTTTCTCTTATGTAACGTTGATACATATTTCATTATGGGTAAATTTTGTTTTGATAAAGTCTCACAGTGTTATACAGTAATGTTTACTGATGACGTTTCGAGCACAATTTATTGCCCATAATCATATCAAGGTAATCACACGACTTCCTAAATGAGCAAAGAGTATTAGCTATGTTAGATTGTAAAATAAAACGAATAGAAGAAGGCAAACTACACACTAGTGTTTATAGAAAACCAACGCATTCTAATAGATATTTAGACTTTAATTCATCTCATCCTTTAACTGTTAAGGCAGGCTTAGTTAAGTGTTTAACAAACCGGGCAATAGCACTAAGTAGCACAAAAAAGACCTAAATGATGAAATAAAACAGATAGAAGAGGCGTTGGTGTTAAATAACTATCCTTTAAAATTCATTAGGAAAATTGAAAAAGGCCAAAATAAAAATAATTGTGAAACTAGTAATAATAATATAAATAAGAGAGGATATAAGTCATCTACAGTTATACCATATAAGGAGGGGACATCTGAGACCCTACGTAGGATTCTAAATAAAGCAGGAATTAGGGTGGCATTTAAACCTACAAACTCACTCAGGGACAAGCTCTGTAGGTTAAAGGACCCTGTTGGTTGACCCAATTAGACAAAATAATATAATTTACAAAATACCCTGCAATGACTGTGAGGTCAACTACATAGGTCAAACTAGTAGGTCAGGGGTAGTCAGATTGTCAGAACATAAGAATTTAGCTAAGGTAAGAATGGTTGACCCAGAGAAGATAAGTAATTTAGAAAAAAGCTCAGCAATTGCAATGCATGCATTAGCACACAACCACACAATAGGGTGGGAGAGGGTTAAAATTCTAAAAAGTAATCTAGGTAGGTGGAGAGAGAGGTTGATTACTGAATCCTTGTTCATCGAATCTACACCCAACACATGCAATAGGAATGATTCATCACTCATACCCGAAATATAGAAAATATTACTACCAATCAAATCAAGTGAAAAACAATGGAACTATGTAAATGAATTTAGGAAGTCGTGTGATTACCTTGATATGATTATGAGCAATAAATTGTGCTCGAAACGTCATCAGTAAACATTACTGTATAACACTGTGAGACTTTATCAAAACAAAATTTACCCATAATGGAATTACACTCTACCACAGTGCACAAGTTTTATTCTTATATCAATTGATACATATTTCCCTTAACGTTGAGTAGTTCAGTAATGTTTTTCAATAAGTTTTGAAAATAATATCATAAGTTGTCTTTGGAATAAATTAAACTCAAAGTAGGTGTTTAGCGTGCTTATCCACGTTACATATTTCATCGTCCGCCTAATGTTTATTCTTTGAAACCATCTGATGATAATATTAATAGTCTTAAAGGTATATCTTTGATTCTTTCAACTATCTTTTGAATAGTGGTATTATTCAGTAGTTGACTGACACGAAATCACCGTGGATCTTTGTCTTAAACGCCTATATATTTTTTTAGTCAATATATATTTATATTTCTCGTTTTTCTTGTGATGATTATTTGTCCTTTATTGTTTGTTTACGCGTGTTTCCTTGATAAAAATTAGAGTGATATGTACTTTTATTCCTATACGTTTCACATTCATTCTATTGTATTAAAATTTCCTTCTTGAATAAGGGTTTCATTGTTATTGTTTAAAATTTGTAATTCTTCATAACTTCATTGTTAAAGTAAATAATAATTTAGGTTAAAAACAATTTTTTTCCTGAGAAATTACGATGGTCAGCATCATATAATGAAGAGTATAATTAATTTTTGTAGAATAGTTGTCACTTGTTAAAAACTTGCACAATTAAGTACATGCAGAACGCTTACTTGATTATATATTGGCTTGTCTCTCAGGTAGAAGTGCCTCTGATGTATTTATCGACATTCTTGAAGCTCTATAAACGGTCTCAGATTGACTAATTAATTGTCACTTTCGCCGCATAAACCTTCACTAATCTTTCTTTCTTCCACATAAGCAAATTTATAAGTTTCCACAGGAATGATAAACAATATTAAAACAAATAAAACCTTATGAACCTATTTATGGTAATATAACTCTATTCCAACTGGAGTCGAAATGTATTTCGGATACTACATTCGATTTTTTTTCCCTTCACGTTCCCCAGTGGAACATTGGGCTTCAAGCTAGTAGCTTGAAGTTTCTGTAGCAGTGTTTATTTTACAGGATGGGGTTGCTAGCCTCATGTCCAACCTTTCCTCTTCACCAGCATTATTTCTGGCTTAACGAGGTAAAGGAATGCGTCGGCCGGGGATCGAACCCCGGACCATGTGCATGGTCGGCGAGCGTCCTAACCGCTATACCACCGACGCACTTTACATTCAATTAACTTAGCTAATCAATCTTTAACTTTTGACCTTGAAATGTTCACATATTTTTGGAGATACTGAACATTAAAGTGTGATTTCATTGGTTAATAAAGCCAGGCAGTGTGATTGGATGTTGTACAAGTGATATAAAATGCGGACCTCATTTACTTTGTGATACATTTGAAGACAGATGTCACTGTAGCGGTAGAAGACCGGAGACTTGGTAAAGGAATGTTCATTTGCAATTTGATATCGCTCTATACAGCAAAATTATGTACACCTTATCTTCAAATCACCATTTGTACAGATCTTCTGTGTTGTGCTACTTTTGGCCTTCATATTGTGTTTGTTTGTGTTCTTTTCACATCTCCCATGTTTCTCCTCAACGCTGAATCATTTGCTTCATCTGACGTCAAATCTATCTCCTTTCTATTTGATGTCTTTTTATGCCGACGAACGTCTCTTTATATACTACTGATAAATTTTATCAGTAGCACACGCCACACCACCATCAAGGAAGAGGCTATCGAAAACCAAGGAACACTGAGAGGTTGTTTCGTCCTAGTGTGAAACTGTTCAGTGTGATGCAAGTCCATCCCTTCATTAAATATCACGTTCAGGACTGTCACGTCCTGGTAACAATTCTGTCTGTTTGTCATATCATACCACAAGGATTCAATGTAATTAGTGAGTAACTTCTGATACGTGACTTGGTGTACTTCAAGAGGCTTTATTTCTTATTAGGACTCCGTGAAATCCACCTATAATTTGAATGTTGGCTCGTGAAATCAAATCAAATTTCAGATTCATTGAGAATTAATTTTTATAAATTGTTTTTATTAGGGGGATGAAAATAAACCTGGTGATATGCCACAATATGAAACTTCCGGAGAAAACAACAACAGAAATATTACTGAACCCTTAACAATGGTAAGTAAGCAGTTTTATATGATTTATGCACTTTCGTTAAATAGGATACTGATTTCTTCCTCAGAATAATGGGCCACAGTATTTAGTTGTCATAACAGTTGTAAATTATTACCCATTTTATTTCATAAAACCTTTTAGAAGTACGATCGTTTAGTCTACCCAAAGAAGGGTATGATGAACAGGATTCAATTAGTATTATCCTGTCTTAGTTGGGTTTTTTTCAAAGCAAGTTTCATCAGCAGCTAGTGCACTTCAATAAAATATCCATAAAGGTTAGAAAGTAGCCTGTGGTCATCGAAACTCTTTATACATTTGTTTGGCGAATTCAATTTGATATTCTAATTTCTATAGGTCATCTACAAATTGCCTAGTATTCAATTACATCAAGTTAATGTCGGCTAAATCAAATGCACCAACTTATTCTTTGTTTTTAATTCACCATGTTGGTTTAAATCAGGCCGAATCAGTGTAAACCACTGGTGTATTTTACTGTCATCAAAAATCGTCGAATTCGAGCTAGTTGGTTTCAAATTTTAACCTTCGTCTGTCTGAGTGAATGGTTTGAATTTGTCTCACTCTGATTTAGCTTTTGTTCAGCTTTCTGAAACCGGTTACTTTTATGCAACGGATGTCATTCATATTCGCTGTTTGTGTGTATGCATTACACACACACTCACAAAAGATCGATAAAGGAGATGAAGTGTAACTTATTATTGTAGTCATTCAACTTTCAATATCTCTCCTACTTATCGAGATTCAGCCAGTGAGCTGGTATCATCAAGTCATATGACTATACATAACTTATTGTTAATTCCGTGAACATGTTCATAGCTATTTGTAGACAATAAAATATAATTTGCTAACTTATTTCTTTTTATCATTTTCAACTTTCAGTCACATAATTCTTCTTATTTGACTGGAGTAATACCTTATCTGGGTGTATTTCTCAGTGATTTAACTTTACTGCATCATTCATCACCGGATTATGTGAGCAGATCTAAATACCAATCGAATCATCAAAATAATACTGGCAATCGTATCAATAGTAATAATACATCACCAGTTCTCAATTCATCAAATAAAAATACTAATACTAATAACACTAATCCTTCTATTCAAATAGACAAAAATCGTGACAGTGGAACTGATCGATTGGTATATGTATCGAATCCACTTTCTAATTATGCACGAAGTACACCGAATTTGTTATCACCTCAGTCATATGACCGTATAAATTGTAATAATAACATGAAACAATCTACAAAATTAGTGAAAATTATATCACCTACACCAATAATTTCCGATAGTCGTAACAGTAATTCTCGGACGGTTGAAGATGTTAAAGTAAGCTATTGATTTAATTTTTATTTATAACTGTTGTATTATCGTTGCGGTGTTTTGATTTATATGATAAAGGTCAAAATAACAGTTGTATATAGATGAATACTGTGGTGTTGTGGCTCACTGGATTAGGCACCCTACAGGTAATCATTGGGTCACAGATTCGAACCCTGCTTTAACTGCCTTCCAGGTAACCCCATGAGCTCTCACACACAATATGTGTGGCTCGTTGTGAAATGCATTAACATGCTCAAGATTATTGAGTAGAAGTGGAAGTGTGCATATAGGAGTGTGTGGGCGGTTATTACTTCCCGACTGCCCATACCGTGGAAGTTGGTTTCTTCTTGGGATACCTGAAACAGAGAAGTATTGGTATTGTGTGACAGCAGAGCCCATGGGACAACCGCTTGAGGCCGGTTACACATGGTCTGTTTGAAGTGGCTTTTCTAATTGAGTCCGTATTAAGATCTTACCGCCGGCTACGGACCGCTGCAAGGTAAGTCGGGATGCACTATTTTAGGGACCGACCTTTTCTGACCCCTCTCTCTCCAGAGCGAAGAGGCAGCACAGCTATTCATCTGAGGGAAACACCTTACTGCCGTTACATCCTTATTTGCCAGCAGTACGACTTGGCTCTCAGACCCTGCTATGGACCTGCCGCTAATCGATATGATCTCGTTGACAGCTGAAGTAACCGAGTGGACTGATGCGTGGGTATAATAGTGCTGACGTAATGAACAACTTAACTGATATGCTAGATACACTTATTCGTCCGTAGTACCTTGCTCTTCACTGGGCCAAGTAAATATCAAAAGACAAAGACTGACTGGCCTATGACTTAGGATACAATTTTTTGTAGGAAAAACACGTCAGTCCGGGGCAGTGGAAATGGATTGTTCTGATTGATTGGCAATTCGGCTAGGTAGGCGAAAATGAACATTCTGATTGATCGGCGATCTGACCAAGATCACAGTGAGAAAAAGATGATAAAATTTTATAGTCATCCGATCACACGATGAATTACATGATGAGTCATAAGGTGATTACTACTTTAAGCTGATTCCCATCAGACCTCCAATGTAGTGTAAACGACTCACACCATGATGGTAAAATGCTATCCAAACAACCCTTCTGACGTGTTACGAGCTGCAGGAACATAAGTCCCATCCGGTGTAGCTGTTTGCGTCATTGTGATGTGCAAATACGACTACCACATCAAGGTAGCAATTATCAGTTGGGGTTGTTCAGTTGATTTACACTATTGTAATTATATCTATGCAAATTTCCCTCTGGTTTAATTATTCAAGTATTCCAGTGATATATATATATATATATATATATGAGCAATGATAATGACACAACTCATTTTTTGAAAATTGATTGTAAGTCACAATCGATTTGCGAATAGCTTGTGACAATAAAAAATGATATTATCTTATAAGGTATCTTAATTCTGAACCCTCTTGCGAAGCGAGACCACCACTTCGTTAGGGATGAAGTCCAGAACCATATGCCTTTAGAAGCAACCAATATGTCAGTACTATTCAGTCACTGACTCGAAATTCCGACTGCTGTCGATTCTTGGTATATTGTCTTGGTGAATGATTTTACTCATAGCTAACAACCGCTTTCAATGTTTCTGTGATAGATGTAGACTTGTAACGAAATATGTATTGACGTCTTATTGTTTTGGATGTCTCTTTGACTTTTATCCCCAAATCGATAGTTACTAGTCTAAATACTAGTAGTATGTATTTCGCTAATGAATCTAAAGTGTCATTTAAAAAGGAATACTGACAAGTTTGGTTGCATTGTATGAATGGAGACTATATATCCAATAATGTTTTCATAGATAACACGTATAGCTCTGACTTGTAGTCTCAAACTAAATTAGAAATAGTACAAACTACTAACAAATATAGGAAGGTACTAAAAATATTTTCTGAATATCACTACCAATTAACACTTAAGTTTAACAGCAACTACTTTGATAACTAAATCTATTCGACTGAAATTACGGCTTCAGCAGCACTTCTCCATTTCAATCTGTTCTTTGCAGCTCTCCTTAGCTGCCTCCGCGAGTACACGTATTCGTTAATCTCCTCCTCATGTGATGTTGCTCAACGGTCTCTTCAGAGTGTTTCCGATCCATCTCCATTTCCTTCCGGTATATTTGTTGGAAAACAGGTTCTTGATTGGTTCGCTCCCATAGTTCCTTGTTGCTAATTCTTTCTGGTCAACTGTCTGATCTTCAGTATGAAGCCAGCGAAAGCAGTTGTTGTTGTTGTTGGAAATGCTTCTGATAACCTGACAAGTCTTTGAACCATTTTGATGCCCTGACTGACTTGCCATTATTGTTGGAAATCTAAATCTTATTCTTTACTCTGAGTGCAAAAGATTTCCACACTGACTTAAAATTAATGGCTTTTGTTGATTTTCCGATCCTGTTTTTGGTTTCGACATCTTCATCCGTACCGTTTTTTTTGGTTTATAAATTTCCGTAACCATTTTAAATGTTATTTTTAAGCGGATCACTTTGTTGTACTTTTCAGTCATTATCAACTCATATTACCAAGTTTTTTTTTCACTAAAAAGAAAAATCGATAGTTTATTTTATCTATTATTTATCTGTAAAGAAGAATTCACCTTCACGTGATTCATCCCACCTATTAAGTATATCATTGTTTTATGCATATAATCAAAGTAGCCTTGAGAATAGTATAGCTAGCTAGCTAGCTAGCTAGCCAGCAAAGCTGTAAAAGCTGAGGGTTAAGATAATCTCCTTCTCTATTCATAATAATAACTGGTGACAGAAACAGTCATATGATTAATGGTAAAATACTACTTATTACTGTTACTACTAATACACTACTAATAATGGTTAAAAAGATATAAAGACTCATTACTTTTTTTTCTAGTTTCTCTAGTTCAATATTTTGGGTTTTCTTTGCTTCTTTTACTTTTTTGTACTTTTTTTCCAGATAATATGACTATTCATGTGATCATTATGTTTCAGCATCTTATTTCTTTTATCTCATGAAAGTACGTTATTAATGGCAATCCATATATATATATATATATACCTGTTAATTTGAACCAATGGTTCAAACGCTAATAAGTTTACTCTTTTGATGTTATTAAATGGTTGGAGGCAATCGACAGGAAGCCTTTGATCTAGGTTTCGTGCTAGTTGGCACTCGTCAGCAAGGCGTATCTTCAACCTTGAAGGCTTCCTGCCGATTGCCTCCAACCATCTGATATAATCAAATCAATGTGCACCGTAATGGCGAGCTACCTAAAATGGTGGCCACATTGCAAACCTGACTGATAGAATTTAGTCTGCACCAAAGATAGGACTAGACACATCACACTAGTTACTAGTGTCCAATGAAAGTATACTCTTTAGCCAAAATTTTGAGGATCATTGGTGATTGTAATCCGCCGGTATTATATTGACTTTTCTTCCTTCTTATTGATTTTTATGTACTTGAAACATATTGGAAAAAAGCGTCCTCTAGAAATATTCATATATTGTAACGAAAATAAGCAGTTTGTCTTAGCTAGACTTTCTAAAGATGAATCTTTCTTACTTTGCTTTACCTACTTAATGATTGCGATGTGTTTTTCTATCAGGTAAGAGGAATAACAGATATCCTGTGCTAGAATGTAGTTTATGCGAAAGAATAGTTTATTTGTTTAGTGTCGTAATCACATAGCACCGCTTGACTCTGTCAATCTTCACTGGAATGAGACCCTGATAACTCTATATTACCTAATCTAGGATATGTAGTTGAGACTATGCAGTTATGGACGCCTCATCCACTTAAGGAGTTTCAAGTGCACTATGTAGCATTGCATTTATTCTTACGATATAGTGGGAGGGCTTTAACTACTTGTCTATTTTTATACTTGCAATATTACCTAAAATGGATGAAATCATCATACAAGCAGTCAAATGGTTCAACTTTGAGTTATGGATAAAAAGAGTGAGTCAGGTAATGTAATCGTGACTTCCTTCAACCAAAGTGGTGGGGTGGGTATATGTTTTTCCCATTTCCATCGACAGTGAATGTTGACTGATGTAGATTTACTTGCCTAAATCAAGACACGCGTCTTCCTGGGTACACTGCAGGTGAAACTAATAACCAGGAATTACTTTGGTTGACATCACTTGAAAACAGTCCCACAAAGGATCAAACCTAACTTAAGCATATTATGTGTTCACCGCTGGTTCGTAACGTAGACGCTCCGTGACCTCATGGTCCTAAATTTGACGCCTCATGTGGTCATGGGTGTTGTGTTACTGAATAGTCTTAAACTAAGAAAAAGCAACTGGTCAGTTCTTCTTGGTTCCTTGTAGTTGTCTCTACTAATTTGTATTGAAATCTACTTTATCAGTATTTTTCTTGTCTACACAACGCGTCTATCATCACAATTATCTGTATAATAACTTATAAGTTAAATGGAGTGACAATTACTTTTTTGTGATTGGCAAAAGTATTTATTTTTTACGGAAGATTGTCATTCAGTTTAGGTAACTAAATCTTAAGTTGCTTTAATTGGTTGAATGCATAGTTAGCGTTATAAAGGTATTTGTCTTGTCTCACTTGTAAAACCTACTTTCTCTGTTATGAAATTATTGTCGTAGGTTATACCTACATATTCTAATCAATACATACATGGTTAACTATGCAGTGATATATGTAGCATTTTGCACCTTCATTTGATAATTTCTTATCACTATTTCGGCTTTGATGACTGTTGATTCGCAATCGCAATTTTGTGTGTATAACACATGTCCTCAAAGTGTCTATGTATTTCTAATTTTGAATGGACATAGCACAAACCTGCCAATCACGTTAAGGCTATTTAAAATTTGGATTTCAGTTACTGTGGTTTACGCTGTATGTACGAGATATGGAATTGTAGTCCTTTATTTTAAAGAGATTTAAAAAGGTGACGGTTATATGTTTGTTGTGTTTCTGAGATTCATAGTGGGTTTCAAATAGAGAATACCGGTGTTTTCCTTAGCAGTCTAGCCTCAACTTCCTAAGGGAAGTAATCAAGATTTTAAATTTCAAAAGTACATCAATAAGGTTAAAAGCCCCTCTTCTATTTCCTTGTTCAGTCATTTTAAAGCTTTGAATTGTACTTAAACATAAATATTCAATCTGTACTAATTGTAATTGTCTAATCATACTTAAATTTGTGTGTCGGATAAAAGTCATGGTGACGTGATGACCGTAAAATGCGGTGACATTTTCCAATGACATCGGCATAGTTCAAATGTGATAACGAATCGTATTTAATCAGTCTGAATAAAACACTAGCCAACAATGATGTTTTTTCCACTCTGTGTACTATTCGACTACACCTTTTTGTTTTTAATAGAAATATGAGACCTCTCGGTCACTGAAGAAGCTGTTTTTATTTTGTAATCACTTGTAAATTGTATTAGGTAATTTTATAATACACTCTTTTTCAAAACAGATAGTTCTCGACAATTGGTTTTTGTAGGGATTCCATTTGTTTCATGTTAGACCACGGGTTGATATCAGTTAGAGAACCAGGGAGTACTGGACAGCTGTTTCATCCTAGTTTGGGACTCATCGGTGGTACGCACCCATTGAGTTTCGAACCCAGGACCTTCACATATATCAGTGTGCGTTGGCAGGGGATCGAACCCCGGACCATGTGCATGTCGGCGAGAGTCCTACCACTGTGCCACCGACACACAAGCGCCCCCGCGCCGGGAATCGAACCCGGGCCCCTGGGTGAGAGCCAGGAATCCTAACCACTAGGCATAAACAAGGAGTGTTGGATAGCTGTTTCATCCTAGTTTGGGACTCATCGGCGGTACGCACCCATTGAGTTTCGAACCCAGGACCTTCCGGTTACAAGGAGAGCTCGTAGACCATTAAGCCACTGGGGACCGATTCAATGGCCCACAAATTCTACCAATACGTGACTTTTAGCGCGACCACCAACCCATGTTATCGGCAGGAACTCCGTCATCACTCCCGACAGGATAGGCCATTGAATCAGGTCCCAGTGGCTTAATGGTCTACGAGCTCTCCTTGTAACCGGAAGGTCCTGGGTTCGAAACTCAATGGGTGCGTACCGCCGATGAGTCCCAAACTAGGATGAAACAGCTGTCCAGTACTCCCTTGTTTTCAATGGTTCTCTAACTGATATTAATCCGTGGTCTAACCTGAAACAGATAGTTCTGCTTACAAGATTATGGATTCACCTATGTTTACAGGAGACAGGTGTTAGTTGTCCTGTTGGTTACATGTAGCAAATATGATTACTAATGATAATGACAACTATTATAAACTGAAAATATATTCTCCTTTTACTGATGATAGAAGTTTTCAATACAACGTTAAACATGAATGTTTATCATGATATTATCAACCCGCGCTAACGTTGAATTCACGTTGAAACTTCAACTTACACAAAGTAGTCGTGTTTAACCTTCAACTTTATGTCCTGCTCTGCTCTCTTGTTTTGTCATTTCATACTTCCTATATTGATCCACAGTTTCCTTCATTTCTTTAGTTTTTTATGTTCATCTGTTCCAGATTTTTGCAAAAGGCGTCACTCTGTATATACTACTTGCAAACTCTTGTCAGTAGCAAACGCCCAACAACACTACCTGAATATAAATCTTATCTCTCTGAATATTGAATTTACCTTGTAACTTCATGTTGCACTGGTTATTAACGTTAGTGATTTAAAGTATCGATAGGGATGACATAAAATCAAAATTTAAACAAGTTGATGAGTAACATGTTTCGAATATGTACAAAGTTCATTGTGTTTTTTGAAATATATAAGTCGGCATCTTTAATGAAAAAAAATAACATACGCTAATTCTTCGGTTACTTACATGCATACTGCATCTCTGTTTTTTTTTGATTGCCAACCCCATTTCATTGGAATTAACCTCCGCCCTCCCCCCACCTCCCATCTAAAAATCCGAAGATGACTTCATATAATAACCGTACTGATATGATGTTTTGATGAATAAGCCTCTACAAAGATTAAAGATCTGCTTAATTAATTTTCTGTTCAGTGTTTGAAATGGTGATCGTTTGTCTCTTATAATCCTATAATCGATAGTGATGAATACTGTCACTGTGCGTCGGTGGCACAGTGGTTAGGACTCTCGCCGACCATGCACATGGTCCGGGGTTCGATCCCCTGCCGACGCACACCCGATATCTATGGTCGGCCTGCGAAATTTGGGCTACCGATATCCATGCTGAAAATTCCATACTTGTACTGAAAATACGGTGTGGAATCAAGCTGTAATCAAAAATAAAAAATAAAATAAATAAAATAGTGTTTTGTTCAATGGACAAACATTTAAAATATACTTTTTTTGTAAATTACAACTGTATTACTACATGTCTCATTAAATTGCATTTTGAGTTTATCATGAAAAGTCTGTAAAAGCTAAAACTTTAGAGATACATTTGTTGAATAATACTCATATGAATTGTTTTAGTTAATATAATCTGAGAGTGTTGTCACTGTTACTGTTGTTTTTTCTCTCTCCATATTAATCTATTTATAATTTGTATTTGTAAAGAAGACAAAGTCCAGTCGTTCAAGACGTCATTCTACTACTGATAATAATAATGACGAGAAACTGATCAATCTTGATAAACACAGACGAGAGTTTAAAATATTGGCAAATCTTTTCCTTCTACAACAAAATGCTCAATTATATTCACTTAGACCTGAACCAGACTTTGAGTTATGGTTTCAGTCATATCCATTGATAACTGAAAGTGAAGCGTAAGTTTTACACTTTTTTTTTGTTAATTGTGACAAATTTAGTATTTCAAGTTTAATTGCAAACTGACTTCACTTAGAGAGAACCATTGAAAACCGGGGACTACTACTGAACAGCTGTTTCATCCTAGTTTGGAACTGTTCAAAAGTCCTACGCACCCTTAACCTGGTTAGAGATTGTACCCAAGACCTTCAAGTTACAAGCTTAGTTCGTTGATCACTGTGCCACCGGGACGAAACTCAATAGTCTATGAATTCTAAGTTCCATCAATTCATGATTTTTAGCGCCACCGCCAGCCAACCAATGTCATAAGTGAAGATCTGTCCTCACATCCGAGTTGGTGAACTCCTCCTGATCACAACTTCATTGTTTTGTGTAATAAGTTATCTGATTCTCACTAGCGACTGGCCCTATTCAGGCAGTTAACCTGGAGTTCTAGTGGGAAGGCGTGACCACTAGGTTGCAGCAGGTTGAAGGTGAGTCAGTAACTCATCAAAGAAGACATTGCGAAGTGGTCGCGCTATGTCACGAATTGGCAGAAGTTAGAATTCATGGGCTGGCCATTGGATTGGGTCCCAGTGGCTTAATGGTCTACGAGATCGCTAGCCTTGTAACCAGAAGGTCCTTGGTTAGAACCTCAGTGGGTGCGTACTGATGAAGAGTCCCAAACTAGGCTGACGAAACAGCTGTCCAGTACTCCCTGCAGGTTTTCCAATGGTTTTCTAACTGATTTCAGCTCATGATGAAATCCTCCAACCAATCAAACAAAATCCCTACAAAACCAATACTTGATAATAAGTTATTAATTTGTCAAACTGAAGCAATCAGTAACTGTTATAGGGTCATTTCATGATATCTTGGTTTTTGCCATAAAGAGTACTTATAGCTTCTCCAGAGAACATCTACCCTACATGATTATGTGTAATGGTGAACTAATCTACCTAAACAACCTAAGCAATGGATAATTTCAGAGCAGTTTTCCCCTTATGATTTGATATCATATAGAGATTTCGAACTAGAGTATGCCGAAAATAATTCAATGAACTTGAATGTCGTCTATATGAATATGCATATAAGGTGGTAACCTCTTATCTATCTAAGTTAAATATGCGAAAGACGTTATTTCCATGTTAATTTTGTTCTTGATAATTTTAGCCTTCTTCGTTCTTGTGATATGGAACCAGATGATGAACAACTACAACAAGTGAACAGACCCTTCAGGTGAGTATAATTTAGTTAATGTTGCGTATGTTAGTTAGATTTTATTCAATAGGTTTTTTGTGTGGAATATTAAGATACATTTAAAACCTTAAAGTAAAGTAAGTGGAATGGCATTCTGATTTGTTAAACCATATTAGATTTTAGTTCATCTTATAGTGTATTAAATTGAACACTCATAGAAGTTTTATCAACCCTGAAATTGTGGTTCATCTCCCTTGAATCAGTGACTGACTTAGTTCTAGCATAGAACTTTGTACAGAAGTGCAACGGCGTTCAACTTGCCACATTCCATTTATCACAGAAAGATAGCGGAAAGAGAGGGAGAAAGAACTATATAATAAGCAGGAATGTACAGGAGGAAAAGATAGTGAAATGAGAAAACATGATGATTTAGTGGATATAGGACATTTTTTATTCCTTCACGTTCCCAGTGGAACATAGGGCTTCAAGCTAGAGGCCTGAAGTTTCTGTAGCAGTGTTTATTTTTACAGGATGGGGTTGCTAGCCTCATGCCAAACCTTTCCTGTTTACCAACTTTATTACTAGCTTAGCGAGGTTAAAGGAGTGCGTCGGTGGCCGGGGATCGAACCCCGGACCATGTGCATGGTCGCCGAGCGTCCTAACCACTGTGCCACCGACGCATTACCTAGAGTGAATACATCTGTGCCACTGAGAACGATTTTGAGCCATATCTCCAATAGTCTCTAGTCATTGGTTCTAAGTATTCCGAGAACTCAATCTGGATAGTCTACACTTCTCTACATGGTTCAAACCAACTGTCAAAGAGTAACGCGGTGGCTTTGCATGAACTCTCAAGTAAATGAAGTAGATTCGAATTCTAAAGACTCATCAATGTCAGCTAATTGTATCAGCTTTTCGGATTGATTAACTGAATACTGATTCTGATTTCTTACAATACATGATAAATGTTGTGGTCAATGGCAGGAAAAAAATTAATCAATATCAATTTATGTTTATTAAATGGTTAGTTAAAGTTATTGCTGCTATTTTGAGGTGAATTCAGAAATTGCTCTAAAATACTCGGTTTTAATAGCACTTCAATTTGTCATTCTATTGTGTACCTAAATATATTATCATTATTATTTTTTATTGGGCTTTGTTATCTAACCATTAACTGATTTTATTTCATAGATAAGCTTTGTAAATGTATTCATTTCTGACTTGAGTGTATACGTTTCTGTAAGTTGATGGTCAATCGTATGTCTTGGAGTCTAGCATTGTGGTACTCACTGTGAACTACTGTATTCTTAGTGCTTTTTTTCTCTTGCTTATTTTGTTAATTTCTTCTTATCATATAGCTAAAAAGAGCAGTGATCTAAACTAAATCAACTACTCTTTTTGATCTTGATTTCCTAATTTATTTCATCTCATGAAGAAGCGCATTACCGGAATTAAAGTGTTTCAATGTCCCTTGGAATGTTTTTTTCTTTCAGTACCAATAGACAACACATCAGTGCATCGGTGGTTAGGCAGTAGAACGCTCGCCAACTATGCATGTGGTCCGGGGTTCGATCCCTGGCCGATGCATTCCTAAACCTCGATAAGCCGGTAGTAAAACCGGTAAGGAGGAAAGGTTGGGCGCGAGGCTAGCAAACCCACCTTGTGAAAATAAAACCACTACTGCTGAAACTTCAGAGTTCTAGCTTGAAGCCCTATGTTGCAGTCAGAATGTAAAGGAATTAAATGATAATAAATGAAAATTAATAGACACTACATCATGATTTATTCAGCCTTCTATATGAGTGTCATTGAATGATAGTCAATAAATATCGGTATGAATATGGGATGCCTTGTTAGTTTATTAATGTTACCTCTTGACGAAAATAACCTCTAGGTTAGTGAAATCCTAAAACCTTCCTATTTAAATACTGATATGTCTTTCATCAGTCAAATTGAGATTTAAATTGTTACTCTCAGTGGTAAGACTATGCCATAATAAAGGCACTAGTGATTCCCTTCAAAGGAAAACTGTACCTAATGGCTTAAGCACCTGACTTATAAGGAATAAGTTCCAAGTTCAAATGTCACTCGGCCTATTCTCCCCTAGACACAACTAAGTTGTTTCACAAGCACTTATAAATATTGAGATTGATAGAGTAGTATGTCAAGGTACTTCCATTGTTCGTTATCATAGTAATGATCTTATTAGTAACAGGAGATAGTTGTCTAAGACATTCGACGTAATGCACATCAACTCGTGTATTGAGGTTCGAAATTAAGATAGTTGCTCATTACGTGAACGTTTGAAGCAAAAACAAATATATAAGAAGGACTTTAGTGATAAATCGTAATCCTAACGGTCTTTGCAATATCCGGCCCATACATGGGATAGAAAACCCAAGTTATTAAGGTTCAAATGAAAAGGGTGTTAGGTAATAAAGATAGATGGTGACTATTGACTAACTTAGTTGGGAGAAAGTTAGAAGATGCTTTAGTATACATTTCAGTGTTTACGCATGAATTCACCTAATAGTCTATAACATGTACTTGATGTGTAAGGAGTAGAGGTGATTTATGCAACCGGGTTCAAGTTTGTAAAGTGTCAAGAGAAAAAATGGAGTCTTTCATTCACTTCACTCAAACTTCTCAAAGCATGTTCTCTCAGGATTTTAGTAAATCGAAAAGTGATCGTCCTTCGTAATCAAGTTGATGAAATATTCTTATCACCACACTAATTATTGGTCTGTATGTGTAAGTTTCTTCTATACTTTGTGTTTTATTCTTGTTGAATGTGAATCTCAGGAATTCAAATGTCAACTGTTTGATCTCTTTGCTACGATTACCTTTATTCACATTATATATATATCGCGAGATAATAAAGCATTAACACGCGGTACATTTATTATAGACTTTCTAAAAGACACTAGATACAATCATGTACTGAAAAGAGGTTGGCGTCATTTGACCAATTTGGGCTACATACAAAAAATATCTTTTTTGCTTTTATTACCTATATATGCTTTTCAATGCATATATGCGATACTCGAATCGATTATTTAGAGGAATAGTATACCATAGGCCTTGTGAATCAACATTGTGTTGTCATGGCATTCAAATTCAGTAGATTATATATATATATATATATATATATATATATATATATATATAAGTAGGTATATTTTTAACGGCAATCTGTTTACTTGAAATATCATTTAATCTCAATTGAATAATGCAGTATAATTACCGTTGTCGAATTTATCGATTAACAGCTGTATGCATTAACTACGTGATGAACATGAAACTGATTAAAGTCATCAGTTTAGTTGTATGGAGAAGATTTACTTATTTTAGCTGGTTGCTACTGTTGTGGCGTGCAAAATCATCTTTTCAACTTCGTAATAGTTATGAAGATACATAATGTGGGTTCGGTTGGATAAGAGTTACGGGTGTATTAGAAATTAGCATATGAGAACACTTGCTTATAATATCATCGACACATATGAAGTTGGAGGATTTCATCATGCGCTGACATCGGTTAGAGAACCATTGGAAAACCTGCAGGGAGTACTGGACAGCTGTTTCGTCAGCCTAGTTTTGGACTCTTCATCAGTACGCACCCACTGAGGTTCTAACCAAGGACCTTCTGGTTACAAGGTCAGCGATCTCGTAGACCATTAAGCCACTGGGACGCGATCCAATGGTCCAGTAGGGTACAGCAGGTTGAAGGTGAGGTAGTAACTCATCAAAGAAGACACTGTGAAGTGGTCGCGCTATATCATGAATTGGCAGGAGTTAGAATTCATGGGCTGGCCATTGGATCGGGTCCCAGTGGCTTAATGGTCTACGAGCTCGCTAGCCTTGTAACCAGAAGGTCTTGGGTTCGGACCCCGGTGGGTAAGTACTGATGAAGAGTCCCCATTTAGGACGAAACTGTTGTGCGGTACTCCCTGCAGGTTTTCCAATGGTTCTCTGACTGATGTCAGCTCATGATGAAATCCTCCAACCAATCAAACAAAAAATTCCTACAAAACCAATGCTTGAAAACATGTGAAGTTCCTAATTTCGACTCAATGAATAATTAATAATCCTTATTAATGAAAATCTGAAAATAGTTTGGATTACCTATTTATTGCTTCTACATTTACATTTCTAGAGGTTTTCCCTTTTTTGAATTCAGTCTGCTGCATACACATTATTTTCACTAGTATGACTAAAGTAAATTGTTGATATGACAACAGGTGTTTGTATCATATAATGAATGCTATATTGCACTCCATTTTGATGCGTGTTTTTGTCTTTTCAATTTATTCAGTGCATCTCCGTACTCGTTCGGTGAAGGTGGCGTAAACAATGCAGTAAATAATACAATGAATCATCGTAAACCACAGTATTCACGTAACGATAGAACAGAAAGAGCAAAGTATGCAACAAGTCAACCACCGAGTGCTACACCTGATATCACCGTCATTACTGCCAATTCAGTCAGTCCTAGCATCAGTGCTGGCAGTAATCCAGCTGGTAGAAGTAATAAATTATACGTCAGTAGTTCACAGTCAATGAATGATTTGCTTAATGGAAATAAATATGAAAGATTATTACCTACTTCAGAATCATTCACAGGAAATAATCTAAAAAGTGTACATAATCAAAGTGAACAGAAACTACAAACAAAGGTACATGTTTGGAATTTTCTCAAGTGTGTATATTTGAAAAACATATATTCGACTTAAACACTAATCATACTCATCAAGACTGCATTTTGCCTAGCAACAGAGATAGTATAATCACATTCACCGGATGGTTATCTCCTAGCTATTGAATAATTCTATGAAGCAAGTGACTAGTCAGAACATCCAGACCTTGCTAACTGATTTATATCATGAGTCTTTATGATTTCTAATGAAGACTAATTTACCGGAATAGTTGGTAGTTTAAAGCGTCTAACTTGTAAAGAATGTTAAGCTGGGATGTACAGTCTTTGAATAAAGTACTTTATGATTAACCCTAACTGTTTAGCTGATATGCTGTGCTATGCAAATGACCATATATATATATATATATATATATATATATAGTATTATGCTACTCAAACACTAGTGTGTATTCTGTGTTAGCTGTAGAGAGCAGTAAGTTTTATTATCATGGTACTGGGGTGAAAGTATTTAAATCTAAAAGTTGCTGAGCTCAGTATTTAAATTATTGTCTCATAATTAACATAAGAAGTCTAAGTGACATAGAACTTTTCGATAGACGTCTATGCCGTCAAGTTGATGGTGTTGCAATGAGAAGCCCCTTAGGACCACTTTTTGCTGATTTATTCTTTTCAGGCCTAAAAGCCGGTATTTTGCAACAGCATATACAACAAATGCCGCCAACAATTATACATCTCATCCAACAGTTGTACGACAATGCTGCGTGCCAAGTAATCCACAACGGGAAACTCACAGAATCCTTCGAAGTGAAGACGGGAGTAAGACAAGGCTGCCTACTGTCTCCAATGATTTTCCTGATTGCGGTAGACTGGATAATGCGACAGACAGACAGCGGGCCGGGCAACGAGGAGATAAGCATAAAATGGACCCACACAGAAAACTTGGATGATCTGGACTTCGTCGATGATATATATACAACTGATTTCCCACAAACTGGAAGATATGCAAGTGAAAAACAACAAGTTGGCAGAAGAAACATCAAAAATAGGATTTCAGGTGAACATAGAGAAAACAAAGTTGATGAAGATTCCTGGCCAACAGCAACAACAACAAATAAAAATCAGCATAAATAGGAGGAATCTGAAAGAAGCAACCTCCTTCACCTACCTAACTCGGAAGCATCGTTTCAACTACGGGCGGAACTGACAAGGATATCAAAGCAAGGATCGAGAAAGCAAGACAAGCTTTCATTTCTCTCAAGTCTGTGTGGAGGTCAACAGCACTCAGCATGAAAAATAAGATCTGCATTTACAACTCCAGTGTGAAGTCGGTGCTACTATGCGGATCAGAGACTTGGCGCCGCGTCACAAAGGGCACTTCGAACAAACTACAGACCTTCATCAGCAGCTGTCTTCGCTCAATGCTAATCAAGATCAGATGGCCAGAAAAGATCAGCAACAGGGATCTCTGGTAGCGAACCAACCCAGCAGGAACCAATTGTGCAACGAATATCCAGGAAGAAATGGAGGTGGATTGGCCATACTCTGAGAAAACCATCAAGTGACATCACAAGACAGGCCATCGCTAGAGTGGAACCCGAACGGGAAGCGGCGAGTTGGTCTTCAGTGCGAGGGTAACATGGAGGAGGTCATGTGAAGAGGAGATGAAAACATGTGGGCAGACGTGGAGCCAGGTGAAAACGTTGGCAGAGAACCAGACGCAATGGAGACGCACGGCTGAAGCCCTATGTTCCTCTAGGAACTAAAGGAAACAATAATAATATACAACAAATGGAACTATACCTAAGATATGTTCATGGTATTTTTATTGTCTGTGAAAGAAAATCAAAAGCTGAGTACCTGCTGACAAAATTCAACTCATGCCATCACATCAGAACACGAGGAAAATTATACCAATAAATTCCTAGATGTTTCTCTGATGAAGAGGACTGATGGCACAATGGAAAGTCTTTATGGACAGGACAGTACATACATCGTAAAAGTTTTGTTCCAATCCAATACAAAAAGGACTTATTCAGAACACTGGTCAATAGAGCACGCAAAATTTGTTCTGGCAGTACAATTAAACATGAAACCATCCAAACAGTCCCAAAGAAATCTGAATATATCAATTTGCCATTCAAAGGAGATGATGTACAAAAAGTAGTCAATCGAAGACTCGATAAAGCTATTGACAGAACTTATTATGCTGCAAAACTCATGTTCCTTAAAACCACCAGAAGGATGCTTCAACAATCTGGGAAAGACCTGTCGCCAATCTTATCAATTTGAGTTTGTGGAAGCAAATGTATAGGTTGTACAGAAAGGGGTTTGTCTACTGGTATAATGGAGTACTTGCCAAGGTGGTTGAAAACAGCTGAAGTCGAAGTGCCTAAAAGTTCAAGAACAAAGCACCTTGTCGACTACGGACATGATATCGACGCTGTCAAGTCATTCACTGTTGTCAGCAGACAAACAAACAGGAAGATACTGGCAACTGCAGAGGCTTGTGCAATTCGAGTCTATAAACCAGGTCTCTGTGTGTACAAAAAGGAAATGGTGGTCACTGTGAATCTGCCATGTTTTACTGGTTAACTGTTATTATTATTATTAATATTTTGTCCCATATTTTATCCTACCTCTTATTATTACTGTTTCTGATTCATTTGAAACTATCTTCTATCATTACCATTATTTTAATCGTTTAACATTATATAATTACTACTATTAACATTCTATTATTACCGAAAATATCTAGTTTGCAATTCTTGATATATTCAAATTCTTCCACTCACTCACTGATAAATAATTTTTTTATTTAAATGATGGAATTGAACCATAATGGATTTTATCTTAATTTTTATCCATCTGAAGAGTTCTATCGAAATTTGTTGAATTCATTAAATACTGCTTTACTGGCTTGTGTTGCTTGTTTTAAATGTTTATCACCTTGAATAATTGCAAAGTAGTTGACAAAAGATGAAAAACTATTCGAAAGACAGATTACCTAGACATCTGTTTTATTCTATTGCTTACCCACTGTACCAGAATCATTTAGAGTCATTTCTATTCAAATGAGATTATTATTATTATTAAAATACAAACTTAGCATATTAAAGGTGTCAAGAAATGCTCTACGCGTAATCTCATAGTTTGTACGAGTGCTGGAATACTGTCTGCGCGCCCAAACCGAAGCAGTTGGTTGTCTTAAATACCCAAACCTTTGACTTGAAGTCCAATCTACAAGACGGTGGAAAAGCGTCAGGAGCTGCATTCTGTTGGTTTCCGGTGATTGTAACAGGTTTATACGCCAATTGATCCTTTCAGATTCTGTAGCCTATGTACATCATAGGTTTAGAATCAGGGTTTTCTAGCTCCCCTAAGCGCCAGATGTTCTCATTCTCCCTTACACTTTTTTGAGGAGCACCCTCGTTACGTGAAGACAATGAATAGGATTTATCTAGCAGAGGCTACGAACCCATGGCCGCATAAGAGCATTTCAAGAGGAAGACCGAAGTCTACCCACCTTGGGCCGTACCAGCTCATTTATGAGGGAAGATGAGATGCCCCAACACGAACCATTCTATTGAAGTGTGTGTTATGAAGTAAGGTTGAATTATATTATCTAAGATCATTCAAAGTCGTGTGATTACAATTGATATGATTATGAACAATAAATTGTGTTCCAAACGTCATCCAGTAAATAATACTGTTTCACTGTGTGATACATCTAATAAACAAACTAATATGAATTTCTATATATTTATTTCTACAAGTTAATCAAATATGCAAATGTAACTTAATAATTAAAATGGATTTGTTAAGTTTGTGCGTGAGTGGTCCTGATATATCGCAGGAACGAAATCGGTGTGTCAGTGTCCCATTGTTTAAAATGTTTTTCCAGATAATATATCGATTGGTGGTAATAACAATGGCATGTTCATCAATATCTATTTATCTTCTTTTTACAGGTATCAGCGAATAAATTAATGCCGCGTTCAAGTCCATCAGCTAAAGGCAGTTCTCCGATTTACCTAGATGGTATCAGTAGCAATAACTTGCTTATTACTGTTACTTTTCATGAAACAAATCCTCAATACGATGGTCGTGTATCGCCATTTCTTGCCAAAGTTGCATATTTAGGCGGACGGTCTCATGGTTCCAGTCATAGTGATAATCATTATTTACAATCAAGACAAGCGCCAACTTCAGTAGACCTGGTAAGTCATCATTTAAAAAAAACCAACGGTTGGTCCGTTTTCTTAAAAGGTTTTATAGATTTATTTCTATTACGAGAGTAATTTACAGGAGCAAATTAAAGCTCCTGCATTTTGTAGAATTACACAAATGAAATCATTTATAACACCAAAAGTATGTCAGAGTGAAAATGAAGAAAGGTGGGAATAGAATAACGAAATGTTTATTATTCAAAATCCTTTGGGGAAGGATGTATATGAGATACAATACACAGTACAAGGATGTATTCATTACATTTCCTGACTTCATTATGACACTGAATCCCACCCGGTAAAATCTAGTTGATATAAATTCGCTTTATTTAATACAACACCCATAAACGCAGTATTACTTGCCTAGTGAAGTTTCAATCATTGGTTTTTTTTCATTCCTTGCCGTCCCAAATGGAAAATAGGTCTATAAACTTGGTTTTTGAGGTTTCAGTAGCTTTGATATTGTTTTTTTTAATGAAGTGGGGTCGCTAGACTTATGCTCAATCTCCCCTCTTTACCAGGCTAACTACCAGCTAGGCGAGGGTTAGGAGTTCGTCGGCCATGAGTCGAACCCGGACCACGTACATGGTCAGCAAGCATTCTACCATTGAACCACTGACGCACCCTCACTCACCTGGAACCACATTATATTGTAATCTACCACAGCAGTGAAGTTTCCCCACAACATTAGGACACAAGTCGTACATTTACATAAAAAGTTATCCAATTACATGGAAACATCGTAATTTTATATGACACTGTAAGCAATCGACAAAGGAGAAATATTATCCACCTTACTGATTATATTATATTATTATTATTGTTTCCTTTAGTTCCTAGAGAAACATAGGACTTCAGTCGCACGTCTCCATTGCGTTCGGTTCTCTGCTAGAGTCTTCGCCTGGCTCCAAGTCTGCCCACACGTTTTCATCTCCTCTTCACATGACCTCCTCCAAGCCACCTTTGGGCGACCAACTCGCCACTTCCCTTTCGGGTTCCACTCAAGGGCTTGTCTAGTGATGTCACTTGATGGTTTTCTCAGAGTATGGCCAATTCACCTCCATTTCTTACTGGATATTCATTGCACAATTGGTTCCTGGTTGGTTTGCTACCAGAGATCCCTGTTGCTGATCTTTTCTGGCCATCTGATCTTGATTAGATTGAGCGAAGACAACTGTTAATGAAGGTCTGTAGTTTGTTTGAGATGCTCTTTATGACGCACAGTGCAAGTCTCTGATCCATATAGTAGCACTGACTTCACATTGGAGTTGAAAATCCGGATCATATTTTTCATGCTGAGTGCTGTTGACCTCCACACAGACTAGAGAGTAGTGAAAGCTTGTCTTGCTTTTCCGATTCTTGCTGCGATATCCTTACTGATGGTTTCTTTAAACTATATTTGCCAACTGATCTTCCTGCGACTAGCTACAGATTAGTCAAATTCAATAATTTAAAATGGTTTCTAAGTCTTTCAATGCAGAGTTAGTGATCACACTTGAAAACAGTTCAATAAGCGCTCGTCATTTGCAGGATGATATTACTGTTCACTGATCAAGTTTCTTTCTACTCGAATCCAAATCTAAGAACATAAATTAGCTGTAAAAAGGCATGATATATATTCTTTCATATGAATGCATGTAGATAGTTATGGACACTAATTTGATCCGGTTAATGTAGAAATTTTAAATAGAGGGAACACCAAAAGTGCCAGAGAATTTCTAGAAGCCTGGTACTCAAGTGAATCAGCGAATAACAAGCATATTAATATAGACCGAATTTACCAGCTAATAAAAAGTAAATCACGTGACAAGAAAGTTCAAATTCCAAGTCAATAAAAAATGGTCAGTACGGATGTAGATCGACTACCAGTCAAGAAGATGGTTGCCAGGAGCCACAAATATATCATTCATGGAGAATTCAAATGAGTTTATTTTATGCTAAAACCTGCTCTGAAGATGTTGTCCAGAAGGACGACGAAAGCTTCGCAATTAAAGCAACCAGCTCAGAGAACACAACTAATTCCAACTCAGTACGTATCTTGTCCAGCTGTGATGAAAATGAATGGTGCCTAAGTTTTCACTCACTAATCAGTTTTCTTATACAAATTGTAGGCAAGTATAAGCGTCTAACTAGACTAAGCCGTGAAATTAATCGCATATATTTACTGCTACTTATTTTCACCTTCATATTCACTTATCTTAGATCATCCGATTAATACTATTTCCTTGTGTTCTGAATCATTTCCAATGACTAGATGGGAAATTCAATTTCTTCTTACCCTTACTCTAGAACCAACATGTGTTCAAACAAAATCCTTCAATTTACATTGAGCTTTCAAGTGAAAGCTTATGATTCTGTCCATTTTGTTATCAAGAATCCATTTGATTTTATCTACTCACTTCATCGATTCATACTGTGAATATTCTAGGCAGTCGTGGAAAAAAACACTAAATATGAAGACAGAATCGGTGATTCTAAACTATAGCAGCCCAAAATGAGACTACCTAATAAAGACCTTGGCAAATTCCCATCGACCAATCAGATGTGTCCGTATTAGAGGTGCGTAATTTAAAAAACGCTAGTATAGAAGTAATGCAATGTTAAAAAGTAGTTGTATGAGATAACTCCCCTATATGTGTTTCAAGAAAACCTCCCAATTTCTCATAGGATCCTCATAGTTAGGTTAAACCACTTTCTGTGTGGGGATTCGTCGAGATAACTGTAAATCATTGTGTTGCTTGACTCATTCACCTCTCTTGCTCTTCTTTTTTAGGTGACTCGAGAAACTTTTGATGGAATTTGTATGAGTCCCATTAAAAGGATTAACGAAATCGTCCTTATTACTGACCACATTGTGAAAATAGCCCAGGGATGACAGTTGGATACACGTTTTCTCCCCTCCAGTGAGCCTGTTGTCTAAGTAGTACTGAAAAACTAGATTCGTGTGCAGCATCCGCAATTCCCTCTTTATACTACGGATTCATCTGACGGGTTGCTCAAGGTCATTAATCCGTTCATTAGGCAGTTTCTTCTGGGCTGCTATAGTTTAGAGTCATCAGAGAATCTAATATTGCAGGCATGAAATACGATTAATCGGAAGATTTTGCCATTAACTTAAATCTGTGTTAGAGTTCCTGAAATTTAAGTACCATTGTAAGATACACATAATTCAAATTTTTGGGTGTAACAGTTATCACTGAACTGCCGGTTCGATATTTCTTTAATTAAGTATTACTTGTTCTCTTCAATTCCTTCTAGTTAAACTCTCAATATTTTCTGCCTTTAAATAAGTCAATAACGAAGTAGTAAAGTATACTCATTCAATTAAGTGCCTTTAAACCAATTGTTATTGTTTGTACATATTCATTTTCCTCTTGTAAAATTTTACTTTTTCTACTAACAGACAGTTTCTCCTACGGATACAGTTTCTGACGTATTATTCAGAGCCCTAAGATCATTTGGTCGTACTGATCAAAGTGTTGACAATTATGATCTCATTCAAATTCGTAAAGATGAACGACGTAAGTAATCGTTGTTTTCTCTCTCTCTTTCTCCCTCTATCTCCATATTTTTGGCAAAAGAAAAATAATTTTCAAATGTTAGTTTCTAAGGTTTTGATTGGTTTCAAGTTTGATCACGGATTGGTATCAGTTAGAGAACTGGTAGTGACTGGCTACAAAACGAAGTTTTCTGGAGTTCTAGTGAGAAGTCGTGACCAGTGGAGGGTACATCAGGTCGGGTGTGACACTTACTAGCGGTAGCGCTGAAAATCGGGGATTGAAAGGAGTTAGAATTGATGCACTATTGGATTCGGTCTCAGTGGTTGAATGATCGATTTTGACTCGTAACAGGAAGGTTCGATCCCTGATGGGGTGGGGTCGTGTGTGCGTACTGTTAAAAGTCCCAAACTAGGACGAAACAGCCGCCCATTCTCATGACAAGTACAGTATTTTAAAGTCATATGCAAGATTGATATTTTGAACTGCTTGTGCTTAGTGGATAGATTGAGGTATATTGAAATGCCTATTGCTTTGTGTCCTGTTATTCTGCAAGAAAGATAGTTTGGAGAAAAATACACGGTATAGACAGCAACGAAGTCTTTAGGCGAAATTGTCTGCTGCCTACACTCACGTGCAATATCATTTAGCTGTTTCCTGAGGATATCTTTGCTATTCCATTTGTCCTAGTCGAACCCCGGAAAAAGACCGTCTTCAAAATAGTTCACCCTCTTTTGCTACCTGAATTTTTGTGGAAGTGGTCAGAGAAAGCCGAACGCTATTAAATCCATCATATGAAGATTGCACAATTCGGAAATCCGCAATATGTAGGCCATAGTATATAATCCGCTTAATATCGTAAAAATGAAAATCAAATTATCAGGATAGTAGTGGGAAATCACTTATATCATCCAGTATTTAATGTTGGCGACACACCTGGCTTGCCGATCATCTGAGGGAAACACCTTACTGCCGTTACATGCCTATTCTCCAGCAGTAAGACGAAGCCCACAGATCCCCAACATGGTCTAAATGATCGTAATAGCTTTTGATCTAACGGTTATCTAAACAGTCTTTCTGTCATGGTAGGACCTGCAGGAACATTAGTTCCAGTCAGTGCAGCCCGTTGGGACATTGTGATATGCAACCCCGACTACCACTTCAAGGTAGCAGCAGCTACTGGTACCGAATTAATGATGGTGATTACTTTCAAGCTGTCAATGTATAACTACACGTTCCTCTTTCATTCTTAACAATCTAGTTTTCTCCAATTCATGATTTTTTGTTAAACTCTTGTTTGCATATATCTTTAGATGTAATCCTTCAAAAGAGTGCCAACTTTTATGAATCCATACACTATCCTTCATTGTATGCATCAAATAATAAGTACCATAATCCACTGGAATTCATCATTTGTACATCACTTCATCATCAACATAATAATAATATGAGTAATAATAATCATAATAACAATAATAATCCAAATCAACATAAAAAGAATCAACCAAATTCTGTATCACCCGAATGTGCTAGACACTATCAACTGACCAATAAAAGTTCAAATAAAAGATGTGTAGTTGAATTATGGTCGTAACCTAACGCTTGTTGCTCTCATTCATTATCAGATGACGAGTAAGTCAGCAATTAAATAAGCCAACAAATAAACCAACATATCTCAGTTGACTTTATCTATTTTTTTTAATTTTACCTCTGGAAGAAAACTAACTAACTGTGTGATCAGTAAATTAAATTTATCAAAAATTGAATTTTTATTTATTTATTTTTCTCTTCTGAATATTTTGTAACCATTTGTCTTTCAGAATTATGCATTTCATTCATCTTTACCTCTTCTGAATATTATCTCAGCTCATCATAATGTTCTACAGTTTTATAATGTATTTCAATGACAATTACTGTGTGTTTGTATGTGTGAGTGAGTGAATGAGTGCATGAGTATCAGTGATCAGTTTCCTAATATCACTTTTTTTTCTTATACAGCATGAAGATGAAGTATGTTGTAATGAAGAGTAAGGAATGCGAGATAGCGCCATTATTATTATTATCATCATTATTTTGTTTATACTATTTTCTATTTAAAGATTCAATATTCAAGGAAATCGTCCTTTCAGTGGTTATTTGCGTTGTTTTCTAATTCATTGTTGCTTTTCTTTCATCATATTCACAATTTCTATTTTGTATAATTGTTGTCCTTTACTTACCAATTGAACCACCCACACTTGTACATGACTGTGATTTCTCTTATCGTCTATTCATAGTTTGTGATTTCTGTTTATAAATATATATGAACTACCTTTTTTTAATGTTAATTCATACAACATTAATATAAAGATTTCTGAATATAATTTATAACTTTTGAATGGTTTTGTGAACAATCGACGGGGATCTGTGAAACTAGAGTTCTATCAAAGGTTGCCCAGTTTGTGGCTGACAGTAAAAAGCTCAGGTATAGTCATTTTACAGGATGATTTCAATGGTCAAGTAAGGTAGCTGTGTCAGTCAGTAGAGTGAATTGGTGGCCGACAAACGGACAACGGTGATCGTTTTCCACAGTTCAGTTGACGTAATCATCTGTTCCTGGACAGCATTAACTTCAAACATGTTGGAAGACATTGCCTGACCTAGACATCTCCATCATCAGATCAATAATAGACCCAAACAGATCAGATAGCTATAAGCTATCTTGTCTGGTGGTGAATCTCCTAGATTGATAACCACTTGGAAAACTTGACGGATAGATTTTGGTTGGTACTGAGGAATACACTGTGTACTATTTGGTTACATCCTAGTGACTTGTCAACGAATTTGTGTAACAAAAAAGATGTACTTATACGATAAACATGCATATACTTGCAATCTAGGCTTAAGGTGCATCACAGAAACTACATAGGCAAAGATTGAAATTAGTCTTTAAGATTCCTTGTTGAAGAATAGTCAGTCAATAGAAGAGGCTAAATCGTGAGATTGATAGGAATAGATACTGTCATTAGGCTTTTGACTCTACTAAGTGACTATACTCCGCATTTTTGAGAATCGAATATCTCACCTTCTACAGCCTATACTTCTCATTCCTGCATGTAGACAGTAAGATTTATGTAGTACAGAAAGTGATTATTGCGTCAAATTTTTGGACAGCTTCGCCTCTTAGTCACAGTTCAAGTTTCATACTTTTTTTCAACTGGACAATGAATACAACAGGTCGGGTGTGAGGACAAATACTCGCCGAAGACATTGGCTAGCGGTCGTGCTTGTCGTGAATTGGCAGAAGTTAGAATTCATGGGTCATTGGGTCAGGTCCCAGTGGCTTAATGGTATACGAGCTCGCCTTGTAACCAGAAGGTCCTGGGTTCGAATCCCGGTGTGTGCGTACTGATGAAGAGTCCCAAACTAGGATGAAACAGCTGCCCAGGTTTTCCAATGGTTCTCTAACTAATGTCAGCTCATGATGAAAATCCTGAATACAAACCCTATTAACCTAGTCCCATTTCAACTCCTAACTGTACAAAACTTGTAGTAATTCTTAAGTAGTAAGCCCCTAATATTTGGTCTTGGATGATATAATTAGCTTCACATATGTGAGCTTAAAAATTACTGTTATTAAGCAGAATAGTTCGATAGACTTTCATACATACGCTGAATACAAATTAAATTAAAATGTATATTAGCACGTGATACTTATTGATGAATTTTTCTAAGTTGTAAATAATGAGAATTATAAGTAAAACAACTGTTTGATAGAAGCAGATATCATAGTGGTTTTCACCATCATGAAGAGGTTGAAGCTGAAGAAAAAACTTGTTCAGTTGCATATTAACGTGTTCACTGAACGAAATGACAGTACTAATTAATTCTAGGTGCTGCATACTGGTGAGGAGTCCCAATCTAAAAATAAAGTGTAAGTACTTCTTAATTTCCAGTGGTTTTCTCACTGATACAGATTCGCAGTGACAACTATTGCGACATCTATCGACTCTTTAGAGACAGAAGTTGTTATAGTCAATAGTAAGTACTTCTGAGAAGCAACTGGACCTAGAAAAACAAGGAACTGAGTGAAGAAATATCCTCCTTTTCAAATAGTTTCTCGACGGCTCCACATTAATTACACAGTTTAGTATCAAAATTTGTTATATAGATCATATTTTTCTCAAATACTACATTTATCTTTATAGTACAATGCTGTTTGTATTCCCCACCACACTTATGACCTTGGAACCCTACTGGTTGTTGACTGTTTTAACTTATCAATGCAATTAGCGTCTCTCAAGGCCATTTAAAGTATATATATATATATATATATATATATATAGCTATATATCTATACGTCAACAGTCTTATTCATTCGTGGGTTAGATGTCCTCGTTGTTGTTGCTAATGGTGACTAGAGCAGTAGGCAAGCATATCGACTAGGTAAGAAGTTCGTTAGCGCACACTACCAAGTGTATTAACGGTCATAGCAAATTACAACAATCACGTGACTTTAGTCAATAAAAATTATCAGTTTTAAGATATATGAGGGGCAAAAATGATTGATTATGAGAAATCGAAACAGTTAATTAGTAGGAGTAACAAAAGACTTCCTCTTTCATGTGTATTTGCCAGTTTGACTGCTCCTGTGGAACCAGTTACTTTGGGTTTACTACTAGGCAAGTTTACCGTCGAATTTCTGAACACCACCCATCTTGATTAGGCAGGTGACAAAATTTTGTCTTATCCTTGTAACTCTCATTCGACACTGTTATTTTATTATGATTACTATTTTAGCCAGTTCAATTAACTTATTTGTATTCTTAGATAATTCATCTACCAAATTCTTCTTTGTCGCCATTATTTTACAAACTAATGGTTATGACTTGTTGCTACTCTCTACAAATTCACTGATCTTGAATTCCGTAATTATTTTCACTTGTCTTCTAAGTTAACATTCATATTTCTTGTTAACTGACAATTTGTTGCTAACTTTTAGATTTTTCATATTCAGTTATGTCTCACCCCTCGTATACCTTAAAACCGATAATTCTTACTGATTAACATCAGCACATAGTTTTGATGTAAAATTACATATACTAGTGTTAACGACCTAGTTGAAAAATAATATATTTCTTTGCTCAATTTGTTGTTTCCCACTATCTGATAGTACATAAAGGCAATAATTTTTGCTTAAAAGAATTTTCTCTAGGAACAGAACCGGTATTTTTAATGATGAACTTTATTTATTTTGTGAATCACTTATTTCTTAACTAAAGCCTTTAACTAAGCAGAATATGAAATGCTTTTAACGCCTTCCTGTTTTGTTGATGAAATATCAAAACCTTACATAATATCTAACATGCTCACCTTTAAAGTGTAGCCGACCAGTGTGTGATAACACAGAACTGTTACTGAGTAACAAGTGCAAAGTATCTATTATAGGAGAGTTAAGTCTGTAAAAAACACCAACTTGAAATTATTCATTCAACTTCCAGTGTCAACATGGTTTAATTTGTCTCCATATTATTATTTTATTCCTTTACGTCCCCAGTGAAACATAGGGATTCAAGCTAGAGGCTTGAAGTTTCGGTAGCAGTGGTGTTCATTTTTACGGGATGGAGTTGCTAGCATCACGCCCAACCTTCCCTCTTTACCGGTCTTACTACTGGTTTAGCGAGGTAAAGGAGTGCGTCGGCAAAGGATCGAACCCCGAAGCACATGCGTGGTTGGCGAGCATTCTACCGCTGTGCCACCGACGTAGACAAATAAGCTACGACTCCAGCACAACCCATCGTGGCGACTCAATCAGAAGTTCTACACCAGACTAATCTGTGGCCGGACAAATTAGGACGAAGCCTTTGAACAGTAACCCGCGTTGATATACAGGTATATACGCCGGCAGGCACTCGCCCATTCCACGAATTAAAGTGCATCGTGATAGATGGAAAGCCGACCCTCGGACAGATGTGGCCACAATATGCCTTCAAGATGTCGATAATCAGAGCAGTATGCAGTTCACATTAATTCACACAGTGGGCTGCACTCTTCAATCGACTCATGAGTCCAGTGATCCACCCCTGAAAGTACTATGTGAGCTATAAACACAATCCCAAGTAGATGTAAAATATCCAATTACACAGCCAACTGTTTTAGAATAGTATATATTAGATTAACTCATCGTGAACTTCAGTTAAGAAAATAAAACGCTTTATAAGCCAAGTATTAAAAATATATAATACATGGATAACTTATATTGATAACATTACAGTGGTATAATATTTTACAATGAAAAAAAATAATAATCTCAAAACAACTATGTATTGTTGGATTTGAAAAAAGAAGACAATGAGGCTTGTTTTACTGCCGGTTTGATGTTTGTATTCTTCTTGTTCGCCTGTTTAATCGGTTTCTGTTGAGTAGAAAAACAAAAGTCAAAAGGAATAAAGTGGTTCGAACTTGCACAGCATTTGTATATCATATTTAATAGCAAAAACACGTGCGTGAAGACCTAAATAATATTATCGCAATAATTTTAGTTACTTATAAGTAGGATAAAACAATATTAGTACATATATTGTCTCTCGCAAAAATGATGTTAGAACTAATCGGAATACAGTTGGTTTTCAAACATTTCACATAAACGAAGGATGTGATTTTCCAAATTGTTTCTACATTGTGTGTATGTGTGTGTAAATAACACACTGGGACTTTAAGCATTTGACTAACCTAGCAAAAACACTAATTAAGGTGTGGTCACATGTGCTTCATATACACATAGGATACCGAGATCTTTTACATGTAGAAGGGAGTTAGAATTTCTTAGTTTTCTGTAGTAACGGAATTTCGAGTACACGACAATATTCTTTGAAAAAGGATGCAATTTCAAAGAAATCGTTTCGGGGCATTTGTGACACAAAACAATGAAGTATAATTGTAGAGGATAAAATAGGCATACATTTCATTAAAGTTATCTTTGATGATTGTACAGATGTGGAAAGACTGATTTATGCAGATCCTAAACCATAGGCCCTCTTACTTTGCCGAACCTTATCTAGTAAATAATGATGACTAAACGTATGTTTGTACAATGAAAATGGTGTTCCACACCAGTTTGCAAACCAAAAGAGTACTCATCTTCTTTTAGGCGGTCTCTGAATCCCTAATCAAGACCTGTCGCTACTACAATGGATTTTGACTTATGACAAGTTCGAAATAAATATTAATCACGTATCTAGTACACATAGTTTGGATATATGGCTGTATGTAAACTCGGCAAGGTGGGAAAAATATGAATAAAATCTTCTTATCAGAAAATCTTTATTACCGACAATGTAATTATGGACAGCCAAATTGATTAAATTCTCCTTCCCCTCTTAGTTCATTTCAAACAGTATTACAATTCGAAATAGTGGGTCATGAGCAAATCGAATAGTTGAACAACGTATCCGGATGATCACATGGTATTACCATACCGTAAGCAACACTCACTATACGGTTTTTAATACAATCTACAAGTGAAATAGATTCAATATAAAATCGCAGAGTTAAAGTGTCAGAGTTTTACACTGGGGTATATTCTTATCAGCCATAGATTTTTTGAATGTTTTAAAGCCCACACATTAATTAATTATGATACCAGTCAGAAAACCGAACAGCAAAATAAGAAAAACAAAAGAAGCAGTGCGATTTCCAACTTACGTCTGGTTTGATAATGGGAGATGCAGTTAGTGAAGCGGAATTGTCAGTTTTCAACTGCAAGCTCGGTTGACTTTTCTGGCTTTTATCTGAATCAACGTTGGTCATTGCTGCCGGTTTGGAAGTCTCGTCATCTGAAGCACTTTCCCAACCCTTTTCTGTAACTGTAGAATAAATTTTTAGAGAATAGAGTTGAAGTAGAATTTCACTGGCACATTCCAACTAGTAACCAAAAGCTGACAGATATTATCAACACAAAACTAATGTCAAAGTATATTAGTCCTGACATAGGGATAAATACCTAGTCTGAAAATGAACCAATTAGAATTAGTCTGTGATAACGTTCCTCATCGTTGTACGGACAGATAACCTATTGATTTTAAAAGACTGAATAGAAGTTAGTGAATTCTGATTCACAAACAATGGGTCCTGAATGAAAAGTAAACATATGTGGAAACTAAATTCGTATGGAACTTAAATAAATTCAACCCGAACGGGAAGCGGTGAGATGGTCGTCCAAGGGTGACATGGAGGAGGTCACGTGAAGAGGGGATGAAAGCATGTGGAAGACATGGAGCCAGGTGAAAACGTTGGCAGAGAACCAAACGCAATGGAGACGTGCGGCTGAAGCCCTATGTTCCTCTAGGAACTAAAGGAAACAATAATAAAAATAATAATATATGAATAAATTGTCAATAGATTACAGTTTAACACGTGTATGCGAACACATGCATAAATGCAACACTAAACTGAATATCAGATTTGAAAAGTAAGTGATCGTGAATAACAACGAATATGTGGCAGTGAACGCTCATGATTAATGTTCACATTGCATTTTACTCAGTTTGATTATAAGCTTCAGGTGAATGAATGAAATAGTAAAAATAGGGTAGAAGGTTATGCGTGTGTGTGTATGTGTCAGTGTGTAAAATTAATAACGAAAGGGTAAATTAAGAAAATAAAACGTCCATTCGTACACGTTTAATAATAAATAAGGGATAAAGAGACTTTATGCATACAGGACGGAACATATGACGTAATACAGTATTTGGGAATTCATAGAATTCACTGCACGCCAAATTGGCACTAGTGACTGGACTTGTTTCTTTTGTACACAAGAGACTTGCTTCTGCTGTTTTGAGTATTCGGTACCTAGTGGCCTTAGCCAGTTTATTCGGTAAGATAGAAAAAGATTTTTCATTACTGGTCTTATGGTCTGTTTAGACTAAGTGCTTTTTACTAAACCTTTATTTAGCCATACTAGTAGATGTTCCCGAGGACGAAGAACCAAGTTCCTAGAGCAATGGTTGATGTAACTGGCTCCATAGGAGCATTTTAATAGATAAATGCGAGAAGAGGTAACTAGCCCATGCACTTACTCTTTCAGATTCGATATCACAACCGGACGTGTAGAAATTATGAGTTGTAATTTACCGGCTTTAGAAGTTCTTTGAATTGATTTTCTTAACTTATTGATTACAACTTCGCATAATACATCACTTCTAAAGTGTAATGGCATGTAGAGTGTTTTCTTGTTCGGACTTTCATGGTCATATATGCCTTATTATGAAATTCACTTAAGGTATCGTATACGGTCTCTAACTTATCCGCCGTAATCACATCTTCCACACTCACTCTATAGCTGGGAGTCTTCATCAAATTTCTTTTGTACTGAAGAGGAACGAAGCTATGGAAATGCCCTGACCATGTGTTTCTCTTATATCACCATCTGACCTTGTGATAAGGATACTATGTATATATCTTCCTATACAACTGACTGCCTGACGGATAGCCATAAAACTTACCCTAGGTATGCACCTGTTCAAGTTTCTACATTTTAGGAAGGCGCAAAAATAAGGGGACAGTTAAAATGATACTATGACAGACAAATATACAGAGACAGGACGGAGAAACTAATTTGAATAAAGACAACTAGAGCTTCCCGAAGCGTCGGTGGCACGGCGGTAGAATTGTCGCCAACCACGCGTGTGGTTTGGGGTTTGATCCCCGGTAGATGCACTCCTTTACCACTCTAAGCCAGTAATGCGTGGTTGGCGAGCATTCTACCGCTGTGCCACCGACGCCCATATAGGTATGCAAAGGCCATTATATCTAGAGATCACTTAACAATTCCTAGCGATTTGTATTAAAACATGAACGCTTAGGATTTCGTCTTAGCTAATTATGCAAAAAGTTATACATTCGTATTGTGTAATAATAGCGACAAAGACATAACCATCAAAGTGAAGAATTAATGTTCATCTAAAACATCTTACCCATAAAGCCATCTTCATCTGCAAACGTTTTCATTACTTGATGGCGAATACGATTTGGACGAGCTGCTTCAGGAGGCTTTGGTGAACTTTTCAAATTTACTTCAGGCTTATTCACCAAATGTGATGGAGTTTTCTCTACGTCTGTCTTTTTCATTTTCTTAGGTGATTTCTCTGGTTTTACAGACTCAACAATAAACGAATCTGTCTCCGAATCAGATACCAACACTTTTCCTTTATCTAGGACCGAAAATATATAAATTATTGGGGATCAGTTTGTGTACTTTTAAACAAAACAAAGGCAGTACAAAAGAGGGTCAATTACTAGGCTGTAAATTACGTAATATGACAACTGGCAACAAGAAATAAATGCTTCCTAGATCATAACAGGTATAAAAAGTATGATACTACTAATTTTAATGTGGAGCTGCAGTTGTATTTTCAAAACATAGAGAGCCCCTCAAGTGCTGGTACTTCCACATGGATTAAAACAGCCCTAGAAATATCAGCTTAAAGAGATATGTGGCTTTTTGGAAATTAATAACTTATAAACAAAATTCAAAACCAGAGACGTCGTTATAAACAAAACATTTGCCCAAACTTTTGATACACAAACCATTTAAGTAAAATGAAAAGATGTGAACTTTGGATTGTTATCTAGCACATATGCGAATTCCGATTGAGGTTGGTGTAGTGACAGACATAAAAAATTTATGCACAATTAAACGACAATAGCTTTGATACTTCTGTGCTAGTGACTATTACATATGGCGTTATGCTTAACGAAAGTGGAGTTATTACATTATTAGTGCTAGACATTTATAATTGCAAATGAGTAATTGACCAGTTCCTGTGATTACAACTGCAGACAGGTTACTGGTAAGGAATAAAAATAGATGGATAGAACCGTGACGCTACATACTACTGATTGATTGATATGAGTAGTTGGATAATAGTCACAACAGCCGGTAGTACTTGATGTATTACCAGTTCTCACAAGTAGCTAGCCAGAATTCGAGTGATTTTAACTGATTTAGCTCTTTGGGATGAGTGAAACCGGGTACACCACTTATGAGCTCGAACCGAAAGGAGTGAAACTTCAGTCTGGTTAGCGAACACTACTGGTTGATGTATTTAGCATACAACTACTCATATCAACCAACCAGTAGAATACAGAGCGATTCATTTATGTTTGCTTTCTCCATTGGCATTTACAGTACCAAGTAGATCACATGTTGTGAACTGAATAATTTCGATTTGGAAGGGAAACTATGGCAAAAATTCACCTTGAAGTGTTTAAATTGAGAATTTGTCTTAGCAGACAGAATCACCTAGAGGAAATAGCAAGGAATATATAGAAGAAGCATTGTAGGATGTTTGGCTAGAAAATTGGGCTAACATGTTAGAAAGCAGTGATGTAATATATCGGTCAACATTTTCATACTTAAGAATAATATGGAATGAGAAAAATTCATTCAGAATACTGAAATGAATGAAAGTGAAATAGGCGGACGGGATATAAGTACGTGTAGAAGAATAGGACCTTAGTCTTCTAAAGTAATATCGCAATCAATTGCATGCATTAATGATTTTACTTTCCAGTTAAAGGATTATCGATCAGCAGCTCCTTATAAAAGGTTACGAAATTTTACACAAATAACAAGAGTCGATAATCCAACACATCAATACCTCTTTATATTTCACAATTTTACGAAAACTAACATACAGCACTGACAGTATAACCGAGTGACATGCATACACTAAGTATTTTGGCTATATTCAAAACAATATATGCGGGAAGTATCAAAGACATCAATGACCATATATCTTAGAGTGTCGGATTTTGATAAACGAGTTTTACGATTGTACGTCAAGAAGTACTACACTGATTATTTAAATAACCAATCTTTAAAGAGATAAAAGAAAATATTTTCCAGTATCACTAACGCAATACTGCTTTGTTTGAGTTCAGTAACCCAGTTTGGATAATTCATACACCAGGTTGTGGACTACAAATATATGTTGCGTGAGGACTGGTGATTAATAACCAGTTATGCGCAGGCTGAGAAAGGTGGGTCCGGGTTCAAATCCGGTACCAACTTAACAGAAATAAAATGCCAATGTCGATGAGCTCTATGTGCATGAGACAATACTGACTTACCCTTATTACTAGGATTTTGTTTCTTCTTTGTGGATTTATCATCACGTTGTGAATTAGCTTTTGAATTAACTGAGCCAGCATATTTACGATTCTCGTTTTCCACATTTTCTTCTTCATCATCGGATTCAATGACAACACGTTTTCGTTTCTGTGCTGAAACTATGCATAAATGTAATCAGAATGAATAATGAAAAGATTACGTGTATTTTTCGGACCAAACTCCTCATCATCTTCTTCTATGACTACAAGTCCTTTCGGTTTCTCGACTTTTACTGGTTTGGATATTCTAAAATTGCATAAATAGAGGGGATATAACGAGTGGAACAGAGGTTTACACTTCGATCTTGTTATTTGGCTTTACATCCTTTTGAGGTATGTTAACTACTGGAATTAGTATACGATGATAATTAACTAACCTTGTTGAACAGGTTTCTCTGCTTTAGTGAAAAAGTTTTTCAAGTCCGATGTTTTGATTTTTTCATCGTGTCCAGCTATATTTTTTTTAGTAAAACAACAGTGCATCTTTAAATGACTTACTCGTAGCAAGTTTCGGAATTGTGGGGACATCAGATTTTGCTACAGCCTTTGGTGTAATCTCTTGGGTGATTTCCTGATTTTCCCGACATGAAAACGGAGTACGAGAAGACTTAGTACTTGGTTCCCACGGGATACTGATTATTCTGTTTTAAAAAATTAATAGATGGAGGTAAATAAACATGCGATCAGATTACATTTATTTACTTCATTTTAACAAACTAACCTTTTTAACTGATTTTCTGAGATATCATGCAACAAGTTACAGCATGCTAATGATAAAGAATCCTATGTCGTTGGTATTACGTAAAAAGATAGGTACCTTGCACTTTTGGCGTTGTATGCTATACACAACACGTTTTGGTGGAGACGAGAAAGACTTTTCAGCCAATGAAAGTTGTTCTGAGTTGACAAGTTTTACTAAAATATCGCCTTGTGAACTGATTCCAGTTAACAGATAAACAGATGATAAGTTGTCACGGGCCTGAATGTATGAGGCCATAAGACTGAAAAGAATACTTAGGACCAACAAAATAAATTACCGTCTCGAATCATTTATATTTAAGTCGAAAGTGATTGACAACCAATTGGCAGTGACCTTTATAACAGAAAATTAACAATAGCAAGTCAATAAACATACAAATCCATTTTCATCCTCTAATTTTTCATCCAGATTTTCGAAAAGTAGTTGGTCCTCCATTGAAAAAAGGACAAAATGTTATGAGCTATGAAAAGATAGAAGACAAAAATCAATAAATACATTCATTATCAACTCAGAAAATCCCAATAATGAAGACATCACTTATGGCATACATATCAAAGAGTAATTCATGTGACCAGCAGGAGGTTATGAATAAGTACTTATAAATGCAAAAAAACTAAATGCATTATTCAATCTGACCGGAGAACATTTTGAATTTGTTGGACGAGGGATTTTTAAACTGCCTGGTCTATAGATACAAGTTTCACTCCCAGACATCTCTACAGCATCTCGCGATGGACGGATTCAAATGCCAATTCTAGGTTAATTACGGAAAGTGCTGGACCAAGTACTTTGTTTCATTTTAGATGGAAAACATTTTTTGGAATCTCAGCTACAGCTGGAAAACCTAGATTTGTATACCTTTCAGGCAGAGGTTGGATAGTGGGTAACTATAGTGCAGCTGTAGACCAAATGAACTGCTCCTGATCAACGTTTCATTTATCCCCTGATAAATAATTGGAATTCCGTCCTTTTTAGGAATCATTTCACTTGCCATAACTTTTAAAATCTGTTTCTTTAATAAGACTAAATAGATAAGAGGTGTTATGTACTACTGGTACATTCTCCATTTCTTCGCTTTTGCCACCCATCTTTGCAGTCGGTGCGAAAAATTTTAGGCAGCTTATGTTTGAGTACATTTTGCCCCTCATCATGTCCAGAACCTGTTCCGATAACGTCCTTGAACCAATTGGTTCAAATTAAGCCGCAAAAATCCATCGGCATTTTATAACCTTTAGTTGAAGATTATCACCGGCAATCACTGCTGTTTATAGAGCACACTGGATATGATGTCGAGATGAATATCATTGTGTTTAGTTAACTCCCTAAACAGAGGTTTAATGTTGTCATCCAGAAGCTGGACACGTAAGGTCTTTGCAGCTACTTATTTTCTACGTCCCTTTAGTCGTACGCACACAGGTGCACGCACTAATGTGTGAACGGAGTCTACGCAGGTTTTTTTATACGTAGACTCAAGCTTTCAACAACCCTCTCTGTATATACAATATAGCTGTGGTCTATTTGTATCTAACCTTAGCTCGATGCTTGTGGTGAGTCTGTCTACTGTGCGTCCTTGGCACAGCGGTTAGGACTCTCGCTGACCATCCACATGGTCCGGGGTTCACTCCTCTTCCGACGCAGATCTGATATCAATGGTCGGCCTGCAAAATTTGGGCTACCGATATCACATGCTGAAAATTCCATACTTGTACCAAAAATACTGTGTGGAATCAAGATATAATCAAAATAAAAGATAAACAAAACTATCCTTATATCAACAAGTCTGAGAGAAGTGACAGAGAATCTCCGAATATTATAGATCCACTACGTTGGCCAAGTGCGATATGTGAACAACCGTGTGGTAATCCTATTTTTATTTCTCATAATACAGTCCTTACAACGTCAGAATACTAACGTGAGGTGTGGAAACTCGGAATACCAAGCAGTGACGCTAGTTACCGTACTTAACGACTTCCACAACAATATACGTGACATAAAAGAACTCACACATGATCTAAAAAAATTTCTATTCCGCAAATCCAAATTTCAGAGCTAAAAAAGATTGCACAACCGCCGTTACACAGTGATACGGAGACCAATATCAGACTTACGACACACCTACAGAAAAAACTTCCTCCGCATGGTGATATATTAGGGTGAACAAGCGAAAAACTCGGGTGCACTGAAAAATGCGGATCATAATACACAGAGTTCTTCTCCAAATTATCTGTAATACATCCAGGCTGTATCCCTATAGAGTAGACAGCATACAGCTGGCAAAATCAGCCCAAACAAAAAGTATAGAGATATTGGGCGCATACGAGGATGTGAGAATTATGAACTCGAAACTGTCAACGATTCTGCAGTGCACCAAAGTCAGCTCCGGGTAACAACCCGGAAAGATCAAAGTGGTGGGTCATAGGTTTTTTGGAAACATGAGGTGTATAGGAAACATGGAGAGTCCACCTATATGTTGTCTGGACCATATCTGCTCAAAACTGCCCAAAAACCTAACGTCTACATACGTTCATTCCATAAGTTGTAACAGTCTCAACTTCTTCCCACATACGGAAGAAAAGTTTCTTAACGAATAATTCATTTTGTCACGTACTCAAACTCGTAATTACAAAAACGTTTCTGACTACGAATACGGAATTATCGATGTTGGAATTTAAGAAATTTGTTGACAGGAATGCCTGTAATCACGGAAAATAATTAATTTATTCTGAAGTATGTAAGAATTGTGCGTCGGTGGCATAGCGGTTAGGACGCTCGCCGACCATGCACATGGTCCGGGGTTCGATCCCCGGCCAACGCATCCCTTTTGGGTCCCAGTGGCTTAATGGTATACGAGCTCGCCTTGTAACCAGAAGGTCCAGGGTTCGAATCCCGGTGGGTGCGTACCGATGAAGAGTCCCAAACTGGGACGAAGCAGCTGTCCAGTACTCCCAGGTATGCGTCGGTGGCATAGCGGTTAGGACGCTAGCCGACCATGCACATGGTCCAGGGTTCGATCCCCGGCCGACGCACTCCTTTACCTCGCTAAGCCAGAAATAATGCTGGTGAAGAGGAAAGGTTGGACATGAGGCTAGCAACCTCATCCTGTAAAATAAACATTGCTACAGAAACTTCAAGCCATTAGCTTGAAGCCCTATAGTCCACTGGGAACGTGAAGGAAAAAAATGTAAGAATTATTTCAATGCTTACACTGAAAAGATAAGAGTAGCACTTTTTTTCAAGACCAAACTACATATATCACCCGCTTCAAAAAACAACCTTGACTTCGTTCAACTTAAAATTCCGCCTGGTCTTTCAAGGTCATTCAATGGCTGAATGGTGGTGACATTTGTTGATTAAGGATGGAAGGCTTGGAGCCTATGTTAATCCTTTTATAGTAAATTTCTGTGCTTGTTCAAATCCCTTTTGAGTGAATCAGTTGAGGTTGCAGAAACCACTTTTTCTGGGAGTCGGTTACAGGAGTTTATGACTCAGTGGTTTGTCTTGGTTTTTGAACTCTCCTCCTGTCCTCTAAGGTGTGTCGACCTGTTGGGAAGGAAAAGAGAGAATAGATCCGGTCCGTATTATTATTTGCCATTGTTCCCTTGCGTTCTAAGTGGAACATAGGGCTTCAACAACACATCTCCACTTTGTTCTACTTTCTGCTGCCCTCTTCAGCTGAGTCCACAATTATCCATAATCTCTAATCTCCTCTTCACACGATCTCCTCCATGTCACCCTCGATGTGACGACACACTCGTCGTTTCTCATTCGGGTTCCACTCGAGTAATGGCTTGTACTGAGTGAGTTTTCATTTGACGGTATCCTCAGTGTGTGACCGATCCATCTCCATATCCTTCCACATATTTATTGAGCAGTCAACCCTCGCCTGTTGATTTGCTCCTAGTCTGAGTCTCTTGTCGGTAATTCTTTCTGGCTGGAAGGCCAGCCATTTGATCTTCAGCATGGAGCTAGTGAATGCAGATAGACGTTGTCCATTACTATTTGTAGTTGTCCATATAAATCCTCCTTCTATTGTTCTGAGACGTTTGTAGGCGCATAGCATTGGATGATTGTAACCTTCCTTCTTTTTGAGTTAAACCTAGCTGTCATTATCCTGGAGGAGATTGGTTCTCACTGCATGAGAGCTTTGGCTGCTCTTGGTGACATCATGATGGCTACACCCTCGGTGTGCCCGTGGTTGTCCTCTGGGTGACCGGAATAGATTACTGTCTTTCCATTTGATAGTTGACCCATTCCACATCCGTTCCATCTGCTCTCGCAGATTCCCAACACTTCTATTCCATACCTTCTCATTTTTGCGGCTATCTAGGCAGCCTTTCCAGCTTCGTACATTGTATGAACATTCCACGACCCCATCCTTATTTTCGCTTTCATCGAAAGGAAGTACGTTGGCTGACTGGCTTCCCGAAGGCTTTCACCAGCCTGCGTCATTTCACTTCCCGGATTCCAGCGAAGAAAAAGGTTATTGTTTATATTTTTAGTATTTTTAATATATTTGTACGTTGAAGTTTCTGTAACAATTTTTTTAAGTTTTGGGGGTGGAGTTGCTAGCACCACGCCCCAACCCTCCCTCTTTATCCGGGCGTGGGACCGGCTAGAAAACTAGTGAGCTAGAAATCTAGGCGAGGTCATTATTAAATGTTTAAAACATTGTAATTAAATCTCCTCTCTGCTTGCGGTATGTTAGGGAGAAGATATTTAAACTGTAGTTTTTCCTAGTATGAAACGTTAGTCATGCCGAGAATCATACGTGTTGCCTTCCTTTGGACCCTTTCTAGAATATGTGGGTCCCCTTTAAGCCGAGGACTGGCAGCCTGGATACAGTTTTCTAGTCTTGACCTCACCAGAGATATAAGGAGGTAAACATATCTCTGGTGATTCTAGTAAAGGCTCTGCTAATTGCCCATAAAAATCTGAAACTACGTGGAGTCATCGCGCGATAGTGTGCTGTAGTTTTTAAATCGTGACTAACTATGACACTTAAATTCAGATGAGTCTGAACTGATGGGAGTTTTATTCCCTCTAGTTAGTAGGAGCTGTTGCTTGAGTGTCCGATACACGTGGTTGCACATTTCGCTACATTTATCGGGAGCATCCATTCTCTGGACCACTCTGAAGATTTGTTGAGGACTTCTTGTATCGTGAGCGTATCATAGGATATCATAACATTCAAGACAGTTTCAGTAATACAGGTGATTTCCTGTGTCCACTGAATAATATGAGCACCATTCCCTTAAGATCCGAGTGGAATTTAGGGATTCAGCAACACATCTCCATTTCATGTTCTCTACAGTCCTGTCTGCCTTGTTCCACGATTATCCATAATCTGTGATATCCTCCTAACACGGTCTCCCCCATGTCTTACTTAAGTACTCAACTCGTCGCCTGTCAATCAGGTTTCACTTCAGGGCCTTACATAGGCTGAACTTATCCTGCGTGCTCAAGGTCATTGGGTGGATACCGCATTTGAGGTTAGTTTCCGTCCATGTAAGTCGGCCAGGTCGGATTGTTGTTCGCTAACCGTTCATTCGCGCTCTGGCTTTTACTTTTATCCTTCACTAGATGTAAATTATTCAGTAATGTTGCGTTTTACCTCATTTCGGTTTCCGTAGCCGTTAAAATTATTTATTCCGTTCTTTTCGAAAACTTTTACCACCAGATCACTTCATTCATTTCATTGTATATGTTTCGTGCTTTGCTTTCACGTGTGGTTTCAGCGTTTCAGTTGCTTTAGCTCTTAATGGAATAGTACAGTGTAGAAGTTTTGGAAATTATGCACATGTACATGTTTCGGTGGCAGGAAATGTTGTTTCCAGCGTATTTGTTGGTTGCCGTTATTGTTACTGGCTCAAGTGGTTACTTTGTATTGTCTGAAGATTCCACACTGTACCACTAGTACTGTTTCTGGAATAAAGCAAATTATTATTATATATAAATCTAGAAAAAGCATTTTCTTTTATGTAAACAGAAATTTCAGTACAAATTTATCTCCATTACTGATGATAAAGAACTCTGAAG